AGACAGAGACAGACAGAGACAGACAGAGACAGACAGAGACAGACAGACAGACAGACAGATAGATAGATAGATGACATTGCAGCACGCATGTAGTTTCATGTCTGACGTGCAGTGGAGGCTCGGCTCAAGATATGTTGGATCTGCAAGGGTCCAAACCCTCTTTTGTGCTGAAAACACCTGACAAAGACTTGATATTGATTGTAGCACTTGAAATGGGTATAGTCTATAGTTATCTATAGCCCTTTGTTGCAGTGAAGCTTCAGGTAGATCAACTATGTACAGGACCTCTGTGGCCCAGCACCCAAAAAAAAACACCTCCCCTCACGACCGCAAGAGCTCCGGGACATTTCAACGGGGTTTGCCGATGGAGTGCATTCTGTTCCATCTGTTCACTCCCTGGTGAAATAGCGCGACGAGATGATGACGATGACGATGACGATGACGATGACGACGACGATGATGATGATGATGATCATCATCATCATCATGATGATGATGATGACGGTGATCATGATGATGACGACCTGGTCACTCAGCCCGCCTCGCGCCTGGTGAAACAATCCCATCTTTCACATTTTGTGGTTGCTGTCTTCTTCTCGGATGGTCTGTGCAATTTCTGAAAGGAACAAAAGAGTTGGGAGGAGCTTTGAACAACTCGAAACACCATCAGTCTTCTTCTCGATCAGCATTTTGAAGGAGACCTCCAAACCAAGATGAGGACAACAGTTCTCCGATGCCAGTGCCCCCGTTTCGGAGTCTCTATGAATAGCCTTGGAGATTGTAAAGAGCTTAAGTGAAGGGATCTCCATTATCCACCCCAGTGACTCCGTTCGCGTTTGGATTTTGCTCACCTTTTGTTTCCCAGACGCTCCATGTATGCCATATATGCCTTCATTGACCCCCCTGGCACCACCCCAACTGATCGGCATACGTGCCATATATGGAATGTCTGGGTGTTGTTTTTGTTTGCCGCTGCGGCCAGAGGCCCCGCCTCCACCCGCATGCCAAAGGTTTCCAGCAAAGCCTGCGGACCACGGCTCGGCGGCGGTCCCCTCCACCGAATTGTGCCTCCACCATTGAGGAAGGAAGAAAAACCGGTCGTCTTCAACCCCCCAACATCGTGGCCTTTACGGTCGTAAATTTGAAGGACATTCATGATTTTATATGGTGGCCATATTAGAATAGCCGATTGGAATCGAGTCCTCAGAGGTTGTACTGCGCAGGGTCTTTCGAATTGTTGGAACGGTTCACTTGGAATTGCTTAAGGAACCAGGAAACAAACTATTCCCCAAAGGGGATTCACTCATAAGGAAAATAAAAGACCCTAAGCAAAACCAGGTTCACCTTGACTATTCACATCTGAACGGCTGTGGGAAATTTGAGAAACTGGGCTGGATGGGAAGCATGGAACTCTCCAACCAAACCGTCCTGACCAGGCTCCAAACAGGTTCCAATCGACTCCTATCCCGGAACGTCTAGAACGGTTGAAGGAAGAAGCTTTACACCTTTCTGAGACAACATCTGAAGTGATCTGAAGTGTCTTGGGTTAGCTTGAGCATGATTGAAGTGGTTTCAGCATTTCAAGTACGTACTCTATGAAAGTACAGTCCTTTCCGTGCGGTGCATGTCGTCACGTGGTTCGTGAACGACGGTGCCTCCATCTGCAGCAGCAGGATCCGGGCTTCCTCGAAAGCACCCTCGGTCACCTATGGGGACGTGGGTGAGATGAACAGGTCTCTGCACCACCCAGCAGGTCTCCATGAAAAGCCCATCGCTATTCATGGTCTTGGGGTGTCAACATCAATGGCCGTTTTGCCCATGTTTTGGGCACGCTGAATCAATAGGCCCGAATAAAACAACATCATGGCTTGTATAGATTCCAGGCAAAGTTGCCTCCGTCATGGTCCAAATAGAGAGAATTCACACGACAAGTGCTCTGATGAAGATCTGGCCTTCCGGAGGTTTGTATATCGATGTGTTTTGCAAGTTTCTGCTCACGTGGCAAAAGAAGTCCAAAATGCGAAACACATCACGTGTAAGATAGACAAAACACATCACTTGAACCCATTCCTATGGCAAATCATGCCTTCAGGAGATCCTCCAGGAAATCATTGGTGACCAGCACTGAACACACATGTTTTCCAAGAAGATGTGACAAGCTGCTTGGTTTAACTCACACGCGCGCGTTCCGATTTCCGATCCTGGAGACCTGGAGCCATCCTCTTAAGACGGATGGGCGCACCAGACCGTGACCAAGGGTTTTTCTGGCCGTTTTTTTGTCGGGGTGTTCTCGTACGTTTCGTGTCGTGGAACTGATTTCCAAGTTCTTGACGACCAAACTTGCCACGTATCTATATACTATATACAAAGAGAGAGAGAGAGAGAGACAGAGAGACATTGTCTATCTTCCTTCATCTTCCTTCCATTCATTCCTCGCCACTCCAGGTCGTTCTGTCTGGAAGCCAACACTCCTCACCGTCTGACGTCCGAGCTCCCCGGGTATCCCTACACAGCCGGCTGCTTCACATTGGAGCTTGGGCGGGGGCCAATACCTCTTCATGAGGGCTTCGATCGGCGTGCAATGCAGGAAGCAAAGACAACATGCACAGTGAACAGTGAACTGTCCTGGTTCTTCAAAGTGACCTTTTCATCCCCGGGTTTGCGGTCACTTAGACCATCTTAAACCTGTTGAACAGTGAACAGTGAACTGTCTTGGTTCTTCAAAGTGACCTTTTCATCCCCGGCTTTGCGGTCACTTAGACCATCTTAAACCTGTAAAGGGCCACTTAGGGACTCCACAAGGGGTCACTTTGAAGAAGCGGGGTCAGAGTATGCAAGATGGAGTTTGAAAGTGCGACTCCCCAAAGCTTCTTCAATTCTTCTGGTGCCTTTGGGGTCATTAATCACCACCTGAAGAAGGAAGTCAATACGTGCAAACAAATCTAGCATGGTCAACTAGCTGGTGACCCGGTCAAGCAAAGGACATATAGCAAGGAGGAAGAAGACCACGGAAAAATTGTTCGAACATTCGCCTTGTATCCGCTACAGGTTGGTTGCACAGTCCTGGAACATGCTTCCGTGCGTATCCTTGGCTTTCATGGTTGAGTCTTGTAGCTTATGGCGACCCTTGTTCAAAAACGATGAAACTGCCACAACGCTTTGGTAAGTGGACTGGCCTTCCATTCTCTCGACTCCACGCCCTGGGACGAGCGGACCGCCGAGCGGACCGGGCGCACGGGTGGCTCGGGTCAAAGGACCGGACCATGAAAAGCCGACTGGGATCCACCGACACCTCAGAGCTCGCTTCGCGGTTGGCGGTAAACGGCAGGAGAGGCAACGGGAGGAGGAGACGGAGACCGCGGAGAGCGGTCACACGCGTTTTGGGAGCCGGAGAGACCGCGGAGAGACCGCGGAGAGACCGCGACGACGATGAGCGTGGCGTGAGACAGGAGCGATAGAGGGAATTTGGGGAGAGTCTTGTAAGAGACATCTGTTATATAAACAATATTGATGTACCATTTTACCAAATATATAAGACTAGTATGACATATGTGTTATAATCTCAGTGACTGAAGAGAAGTTTGTATGCCTCTGATAGCCTTTGCAATCTGCCGGTATTTGCTAAACACCTATCAGTCTCAGCACCGAAGACTATAAGATCTGTAAGACCCAGGACAGGTTTTTGAGGGGACCAGTACTGGACCGTCTGACAGATTCAACAAGGATACATTTATTTTTAAATGATGTATAATGCCATATATATATAATGCTGTAATACTGTAATACTTAATACTTTATAGTTATATAATGTTATATATATATATCGTTGTACAATCATGCACACAGAATTTGTGTACACCCACCAGGTTCCCACTCTTAAATGGGCTGGCGACCAGTTGCGTTGGGTGACGGAAAAAAAAAAAAAAAAAACAATATAAACTACGCAACGGATGATCCCTCCCAACTGATGATCCCTCCAATGTGGAAAAAAGGTCCAGTTCCCAAAGACGAAGCATGAAACTTAGACTATAGAATACTATAGATCAAATTTGCCCCACCTGGGACTGGAATAGATGCCGACATTCAGTATGCCGCCCCATCAACACCCCAGGGTCAAGATGGAGTCTTTGGGGTTGACTCGTAGGCGCGCCAAAGCACGCCCCAACCCAAGCCAGGTCCATGAAGTAGCCCCATCTTCACCTACGAGCAGTCTCACACCAACCGACAAAAAAACACAATGAAAACATCCAAATCAAGATGTCGAAGTAAGCCGCCCACCGTTTGGGTCAGGTCTTGCTGTCTTTTTCTTTACGTCAAGCATTTTTCTAACAAATGGATCAACACTAATCAACACCGACTTGCCTAGTAAACGAGAACAGTAAGCCACTGTGCCACCCCTCCACTTGGTCCCTTCTTCCTGCTACCCTCCAATCCTTCCACCGCCCTACTGGAGAACGCACACCCAAACACGCGATGGAAATTTGCATATTTGCCCACATTGAGAGGTGGTTGACCCGGGGTCTTTCTAGGGCGGCATATTGTCTGAAAAAGCTTTGACACTTCACCACCCCGGCGACGAACGGAGAACACCTAACAACGGACCCAAAGCATCCATTGCATATATGCCTACATGGATGGGTGGGTTTTGAGCTTTGAGATGTTTTGAGCGTGAATGTCGGTATGCCACCTACTGCATTTCTCCATACATGGATGGTCATGGTCGAAACCCTCACCTCGCGCCAAAGGCTGCGAATCTCCGCGATCTGCGGCTGCAAGGCGCGGAGCAAGTGGAGCTTCAAGCCCTGAGCGCCGAGCCGACCGGGTGGACATCGACTTCCCAGCCGCCATCGATACAGGTCACCGATTTAGACGTTGCCTTTTCAATCAGGTCACTGTCACTGTAAGCTGCTGCTGTTCAAGTGTTGCTGCATGTTTCTTTGCAAAACTTTGCTTTCACCCAAGCATCTGCTCAAAAGGCCACGGTCAGAAACTCACATACCCGACTCCCATAATTGCCAACTGGTTGCAGTGGCAACTTGCGTGCTTTGGTCGTTGGGGGCACAATCACATGAACTCATGGCCAGGCATCAAACATTGTCAACCCCCCAAAAAACGTTGTTGTGGAAGAACCAGTCCTTTGCTTGTGGATCACTGAGTGACTAATAAACAAAAAACCTGAACAAAAACACATCATGTCACCTGCAAAACACCAGATCCATCAATTCTCAGTAGTCTCCAGGTGCTTCAACCCTCTCCAGGTGCCTCCTTTCCTGCGCTGGTGCCCTCTAGCTGGAAGTAGCGCCCGAAAGCATCTGCCAGCGACGAGCCTGGGAGATGCACAGACCTACCGATGGCACCAGACGGACTCCTGAGCCGTCAATGGAACCATGGCCCAGCCCACGCAACGTCTGCACCCTCTCAAGATGGACCCACGGCCCATGCGGCGGTGGTCTCTTCCAGGGAAAATAAAGGTTATATATCCGAACCTTTCTACCTGTTCTTGCTTATTATAGTGGGGTTGGATGAAACCCCACTCAAAAAATGAAGAGGTTAAAGGTTATCCACTGACTGGGTGTAAAGATGACGGTGCACTGATTTGAGATGATAGCATGTGTGCCTAAGGCCGATAAGATGAAGATCGGAATGAAGTGTCCGATGTTCAATATGGCCTTCACCCCCCAAAACAGCCAGTCCCCTTGGTCGTGCCTGGGATATATAGTATTAATGAATTGAAAGCCATTAATGGAGGAACACAGCCTTGGGCTCTTTTCATCGCGAGCAAACCCCTTCAAGGAAGAAACCAGGGGCAATCCAATGAACGGTGTACTGGATCTGTTGGCCCTTCTCTATGTCCGACCACCAATCGATCAGGTGGGCTTCAAGGGTTTCCTCATTTTGGTGACCAGCGGTTTGAAAAAGACATATGGAGCACAAACTGAAATTGAAGGTTTTCTACGAGAATCCCTTTACCAGTTGATACTATGTGCAAGGAGACTTGAGATTTGGGGAAGGGCTTTTGTGTCACCGGTACCTATACCCAGACATACCCAGACATAACACATGGAACTTGCATATTTAGCTACATGGAGAGTAGGGATCCCTACATGGAATAGATCATGGGACTGGTTGAATATATACTCCTTCGGCTCCCTTCGGAGTCTTTGAACACGGGGGTCCCATGGACGGCCGGCGATTCTCTTCTCGTCCCCTCGTCTCCCGTCCGGGTGAGACGACGCGGATCGCCGAGGACCGGTCGAGGACCGGGAGCAGGCCGGGCCTATCTCTTGAATCCGCGTGTCCGCCATGTGCTGCATGGTACCTTGGGGAACGCACAACCCGGTTTCAGCGGTCCAACTGGGAACATCGTTGAGAAAGAAACACCATCACTTAAGGGGATTCAGCCACCCCGAATCACTGGATCTGCAAAACCAATTTTGTTTCCCCAAATAACCCTAGGCTTACACCATTTATGCCATTGACCCCAACTGATCGGATGTATTTTGCCAGTCCCACTTACAGGTCGTGTGTGGGATGTGCTTTAGATTGCTTTAGAGGGGTGACCACTGGTTCACCACTGGTCTTGCACTATAAACCAGTTCACCACTCCTCACAGATCTCATAGATCGTTCTGGAAGCTTTGCGGGACGGATTCCGAAAAAACACGTTGGGTGATGTTGCGTGCGTATTTCAATAGGCCAGGAGACCCCCTGGCCAGTTTGGACGGATGAGTTCCCTCCTTCCTGCCACACACACACACATGGACTGCTACTTCGATGTTCGCTCCACTTCGCGTCCGTGGCCAAGCCTGTGTTTCAAAGTCGCTGGGTGAAAACAAACAAAAACCACCCTAAGAATCCTTGGGCTCTCCATGGCAGGGGGTCGGACCCTCCATAGCAGGGGTCACCCTCTGTGTTTGAGGGCCCGGATTCTTAGGGCAGAAAAGAACACAGGACACACACATGTTGGCGCCCACCGCCCCCCAGATGCCCGCAAACAGCCACCCTTTTCCAGGTCGGACGGCCGATCGGCCGTCCGGGCCGTTGGAGCTCCGAAGCTCCGAGAAGGTCGATGAAATGGCCATGGTTTGGGCAACATGTCGAAGGTATACACTCCCTGGAATACTATATGCATGTGCCCCCCTTGAAAGATGCAATGGACGGTGGGGGTCCTGAATTGCATTTGTTGGACGTAACCAACCAACCAACCAACCAGCCAGCCAGCCAGCCAGCCAGCCAGCCAGCCAACCAGCCAACCAGCCAACCAGCCAACCAGCCAACCAGCCAACCAAGCAACAAAGCAACAAAGCAACAAAGCAACCAACAAAGGAACCCAACAAAGCAACCCAACCCAACCCAACCAACCAACCAAACACACCAAACCAACAAACCAAAACAACCAACCAAACAAACCAACAAACCAAACCAACTCCATCCAGCTCCAGTCAGAACCGATTTCCGAGCAACTGGTGCTAGTGATGTGAGTACCAAACTCTCCATGGGACTGGAAGTAGCTTATACATAATAATTATGATATAGTTCCCCAAACAGTTTACTGTTGGGGTTCTATCTTAGAAAAAAAGAGCTGGCCACACTCACGGGCCGCGCCCCTGAACTCTGTGGCTGGTCTCTGTGGCCCGGTTTACTGGAGAAGAGTGTGGCCGAGCAATTAGCGATGTCGATGCCGACAAAAATCATTGATAAAGCAGTTTGCTCTTGGGGGGAAGGTAGGGCGTACCAAGAAATCGTTGTTTGACTAAATAATATTTGTCCAAACAAATCGGTTTAAAACTGTTCGGGGTCTATGCTGGTGTAATTGTACTATGTTTTTTTAATGATATGTTGCAAACATTTTAATTGCAAACATTTTAACTGACTCATGAAAATGACCCATGCATGCAAGCAAGTAACCATTCCAGTCCCATGGATTGTGTTGGGTAATGGATGTTGCCATTTCCTAAGTTCCCGAGTGGCTATCATATGCTATCATCCTTTTTGCGGGTCCATGTCCAAGTTGTAGATGTCTGTTCACCGTGATAGTATCCAAAATATTCCAAAACTCTGAGTTGCCAAAGGACATGGTCAAAACATGTTACAAATACTCAACTACGTAGCAAACCCTTCCATCCTTCCATGTCGTCTGGGGCTTCTGCGGCTTCTGCGTCGAGTCTAGGCAGCGCCGGCTCAAGCTCTGGGACTCTCCCAACTCCCAACCATCGACTCCGCATCCTTCGACGTTTCGACACCGCGACCGAATGCTCATCGACTCATCAAGCTCGCGCCAAGGAGCTCAGAAAGGCATCCAGCTGACCCTCCGTCAAGGCGAAGGAGTCCAGCTCCTCCCAATTGGGCTGTGCCGGCTGAACGAAGAGTCTGAAAACGGCCTAATTGCTTTCACTGGGCTGAAGGCTGGTGCATCCGGCCGTGGAACAATGATGCCCTGCCTTTGACAGTGGGCCTTCAGGGATCCACAGGTATGCAGCGGGATCCTCTGAGAAGGTCTTTTGGGCCATATACTTCCTGACTCTCGGGAGGTTTCCCTGGAAATTGAGGCTTCACCCAGCTGTCCACCTATTGGCTTCGAGTGGGGTTTCACCCATCCCCCCCAATAAAGTTGATCGGGATCGTCGACGGTCGTCCCAAGTGCAGTGCAGAACCCCTTTTTGAGAGGTCTTCTGAATGTCAATCAACTTGACTGCTCAATCCCTGGATATGCTCAAATCATCTCAAGTCTGCCAATATTCACAATGGAGTAAGTGCAACGTCACTTCACACATACTTGAACTATCTTGGACTGTTCAAACCTCTCAAGATTCTCTGCTGTTCGGCCTATTCAGCCCACGAGAAAATCAAACCAAAAGCCCCCAGCCCGGCACGGCCACATACGGCCACCCCGGCACGGCCAGCTCGATGGCTGGCGGCTCCTCTGCCAGGCCGGCTGTCTCGACGGCCTTTCGGATCGTCGCAAAGGTGTCTTCCACCGTGTGCCGGACCTGCGAATTCGTCGCTTTTCATGAGAAGGTTACCATGGCGAACTAGGGCGAACTGAAATTCAAGAGGTTCATGTACGGCCTTGCCAAAACCTTGTTCACACAGGATTTGTCTCAAAGAGGGGGGGCCTGCGAAACGCAAACTTGGAATTCGAGAATGGTCAAGGGGAGGCCTGCTGACACACGTCGCATGAGATTTTCAGCCGCATGTTTATGGCCAACCCACATATTTTTATTGGTGGCGGTGACAACTGTCAACCAAGTGTTATTTTGCTTGGTTGCTCAGCAGTCTGCTGGGTAAGAATTGTCCGCAAATGGGTGTTTGTCTTGTGCGTTCCTCTATTTCAGGCACCGAGAAAACTGAAAGAACTCCAAATACGCCCTGGGCTCAGTTGTACACCACACCTCTTAGCCCAAAAAGGTGGCAAACATTGTTTTCCTTCTAAGGCTTCAAATTGATGGGTAGAATAAGTATAGTGCATGCATCTGCATACTTGTTGTTCGCTGGGCGTAGGGCGTATGACCAGTTGGTCTAAAGAAATTTCAGGGGGCCTCGGTCGGATGAACCATCGGTCGGATGCAACAGAGTGGCTTATGAATCAGATGATCAGCTCAAGGGCTTTCAAAGCAATGCACTGCTTTCGAATTGTCATTGGGAAGTCTTGACCTTGATCTTAGACCAACATATATAGACCAACTACAACAGCCGAAAAAAGGGGGATGACCAAAATAATTTAGAACAAGATAGAACAGGTATCAAACATATCACCCAGCAGTGAAAGTCCTCTATCGAACAGTGCATAAGGTAGTTAAAGTCATCTAACATATTCTGAAATAGAAAACATGTTATACCTGGACCTTCCACGGGTGTGTTTTTTCTGCCGTTTGGCGAAACAGCACAAATTTCAGTCGTTTGCCGTCAAAAACGCCGTTTCATTTCAAAAGTGCCGTTTCGATGTTTTTACAGAGGTTGCCAAATTAGCAGTTGGCAAAAGTCGCCGTTTGGTCGGGGAAAGTCGCCGTTTGGTCGGGAAAAGTCGCCGTTTCAAAACCTTGACTTACCATAGAAAACATGTCAATGCAAAAAGTGTTTCAGTACAAAATAGTTGGCGTTTGCTTGAAAAAACAGTTTTGATTGAAAAGGCAGAAAAAATGCATACTTGTGAAGACCCAGGTATGAAAAAAGGAACCCAACTCAAACTGTCCATGCATGTATTGTATACATCTACAATCATTGGGGTGGTTGATTTCACGGGTGAATGTAGGTAGATCTTCCAGTCTCATTTGTCGCGTCTAGGGCGCGAAGATCTTGGCATCTTCTGTCTGCCAGCTTCTCCGACCAACCGCACCCCCAAGGCTCCAAACCAAATCTTTCTCGTTCTGAGGGATGGCGCGCAAGGAGATTTGCCATGTCTCCTGCATTCGTGCAATGAAAACCCATGACAAGTATGCCTAAAACCTGGAGCAGGTCCGCAATCGCCCGCGTTCGATCATGTCCGAAAACGGCCCGGTGCGTTCGATCGCTGCCTCCAATGGTCAGGTAGTTCCGGAGGTTCTCCGGGTGGGAACTTCCAACACCCCATTCCCCCAGAGGTCGCTCCGGTGGTCGCTCCGGTCGACCGTCGACCGTGTGGGTGTGAACAGAACCAGCGGTGTGTGGCGGCCGTGGTGGGGACGGTCTGGCGAACCGGCCTGGGGCGAACCTTCACATCCTTGACACTGCAGCTGTTTCGACCCTGTTTCGACCGAGACAAGAGCCTCTGTGGAAGCAGCTCCAGTTTTCCAATGCGTGGTCTGGGTCGCATCAAATGTCTTATTCAGACTTATTCACTTGTCAACTTAGTTACTAAATCAATGAACAAAGAATCTTGGAAACTAAAAGTAACATAAAGATACATAAAGTAACTAAGCTTTGAAGGGCATAACACACTTTACAAACCACTGATCAGTGTCCCAAATCACACTAGACAATAGTCCATTCCTTCCAACACGTAGAGCGCACCATTTTGTGATCTAGCAAATATGATGGATGTGTAATGATGTGCATTAGAATAGGGATTCTCCCCAAGGTTCGACCCTCTGGGAGAAGAAAAAACAAACCAGTGGATCAATACTGCCCAGCCAGGGCCAGGGGATCTCCCCCTTTAAACAGGTTGTTCAATACTTCTGCATTCTTTGGCCAACCCAACCACCTTCGAGGAATCCAGTGGAGACTCTGGAAAACTCAGCGCTGGCAGTCTGGGCTGACTCGCGATCACCAACATGGAAGGACGACAAAAAGAACAGAACACTCACCAGGAGTCACAAAGGGGTGGTGTTTAGTCCCCAAGTGAGTCGATCATGGGCACCCCTAACCTCCATAGATAGCATCCATTTGTGACTGCTGGCAAAGGGATCTTCGTTGTGCCACTTCCGAAGGCTCCGAGTCGTTCATGTTCGGCATTGGCCTCCACTCCGGCGGAGAGAAACCACGACTGGGCGCCAGACCCTGACAGTTGCTTATTGATCCTTCTTGATCTACATGGAACTTCTCATCTGCAGATTGCCAACTCGCCCGACGGTTCGGGGCAAGGGGGGACACTTCCGAACCCCCGTGAGCTGTGACTCCCCTGACCCCCAAAAATCAGGTGAGAACAAATCACAACATCGGTAGGTCGAACCACATGAGCTCAGTTGCTCTGTCACTTCAAGGCACACCCCCGCGCGCCTGTTGCCGCACGGTCTCCAGCAGCGCTTGGGTGGCTGCGGAGGTCAACTGAGTGCTTCCCAGCAGCTCTTTGGCCTCGGAAGGCCCGGGTGCCAGGAGGCCATAGATTTCTTATTCAAACACTTGGTAATTAAAACATATTCTAGACTCTATCGACAAAAAGGTGATTTCTTATCACAAGCCTCAGCCATATTTCCTCTTCTTTGAACGGTTCATCTCACGTGGGAGAGTGTAGCAGCCTTGGTCAATGACTTGATGGACGGGCCGTGACGGGCCCTGCACGTCACCGTCGCACCAGTCTTGTTCAACACGGTCGCACCGTTGTAGGCAGCGCAATGGCTCCTAGTAGTTTCTTGTTCCTAATAGTAAGGCCAGGAGCCCCTGGTAGCATCCTTGTTCCTAGTAGCGATGCCCTATGCTCCTAGTAGCTTCTTGTTCCTAGTAGTAAGGCCAGGAGCCCCCCAAATATCAGGCCATCCCCCATGTTGTACCACCCTCCAATCCAAGACCCTGCACTACCTTCTCGACCTTGCGCTGAATCTGGAGTCCAGGCACTGGGAAACCATCTTTTTGGGCTTTTATAGGCATTCACCCAGTTCAGGAACATATATAAACTATATAATCAACATCAATGCACATATCCATGCTTTTTGGTGCAAAACGGTTTCCGAGAGAAACACAAACCTGGCCACCTGAGCCCAGTTTTACGCAAAAGCATGGATACATGCCCCTTGGCCTCCTGGACCTACCTGTGAGCCGAGTGAGCCCTGCTGTGAGCCCTGAAGGGCGCTTGGCCAGCTCGGACCTTGGCCGAGAACCAGGAGGTGGTCATAGAAGTAGTAGGAGAAGTGGCCCAGGAGGTGGATTGAAGTGGCCCACAAAATGGATTATTTACTAATTCTATGTTTTACTCAAGAATTTTAGACTACAAGACCAGGTAGACCAGGTCAACACGTTTTTGAACGGGTCGAAGACTAGGGGGAAGGGGAACTGTTAGAGCCAACGATCAGGTACAGTACTATTTCTTGTACTCTTCAAAAGGGTTGCCTAGACGCCCATGGCGTCGCCTAGACGCCCATGGCGTCGCCCGCAATGTTGGCCGAATCTTAGTTCACGGTAGATGGTAGAAGTGATGGTGTAGAAGTACATAGAAGTTGGGTATATCATGGTCTATCCTAATACCTGAGCCCAGTGGATGATGATGGTTCAGTTGCAGGCCTTCCAAAAATAGCTGATATCAGCTTTTAAAATCTATTAAATATATACGGGTCCTGAGAAAAAGTGAATAGGACGGACAGACCCAACATAGAAGATCATAAAAGTATCCTCATCTGCAGGCGGGGTATCTCTTCAGTGGGCAGATGTGGATGTCATTTCCATCTCATTCCCATCGCGCGCGCGTACCGCACGGCCGCCACCTACGTCGGCGCAGCAGGGTGCCCGAACTCCGAAGGCTGGGCCTTCTGCGCCAAGGAGATGGCGGCAAAGGCTGTGAGGCCCTGAAGCTCCACGTGCAAAACTGCTGTTGAGCCATGCATGGTTTAGCCAGTTTGGGAGAATTTGGAAGATGTTTTGGGATGTTTGGAGATGTTGGAATCTTTTGTTTATCATAAAAATGCTTCTGTTCAGTTTCAGTCCCCCTTTAAGCTTTGGACCTTGACCAATTACACTCAATTTCAACCTCGACTTAGCCGCTCGGTAGGCATCCAATAGCCGCTGGAGGGGATCCTGGCCTCTTGGCATCTTAGCTCGCTCGTGTGACCTTCCCATCGCCCCTCCCCACCATCAAGAGCAGCGCCGCTGCGCAGGCTTTGGGAGCACCCCGCGAGAGCACCGGGCGACGCCTACAGCGTGGCGTGGCGGTCATGATATTGAAGTGATTGGATGTAATTTGGCGGGTCAAAACGCCCGAAACCCTGATAGGTTGACCATGTCTAGTACAAGTACTCTATTCTGTTCATGGGCACGGTGAGTCAAAAAAGGTCCCCCGGTTGAAAGACCCTCAGCCATTTCTTGATGTTTGCTTCCGGTGTGGGCGGTACTAGCCTCGCTTGTAGAACGATTTAGGGAATCCGGTGTCAGAATCAGTTGGGAAGTAAATCTTCCAGTTTCCTGTTCCTTTTCCGCAAAACAACGACCTGTGCTTCACCTTCTTCGCAAGCCGAGCCGGTTCGCCCCCGGTCCGTGGCCCCGGTTCGACCCGGTCGCGGCCTGGGGGTGCAGGACTTGATGGTCTGCCGGGTGGGCGATGGCACTTCCCGGGTCGAGGAGCTCCTGGATGGGCGGAAAACGAGCCGAGCTCCGGCGGCATGTGGACGCGTGGAGGAAGGCGAAAGGAGTCTAAGATAGTGCAAGTAAGTTCGTTCCTATATAGGCAGTTGGAATGTCGGGGAAGGGATGTGTCGCTGGAGAATGTGTGTGTGCGTGTGTCTGTCTGGAGCGGGAGGCGTTTTAGTGGGAAGAAGGTATTTCATGAATGGGAAAGGTATGAGGAGCACACAAAGAAAAACGGTATCAATTTATCTACATTCATGAATGTGCGAGGTTTGCAGTAGATGATTCCCTTGGTGGTGAACACCTTCCACACTGCGATGTCGCAGGCTGGTCTCCTCCAAATCTTCCAGAGGAAATGCCTGGCGATGTGGCAGGTGAATTCCACGTAGCTGTGAAACATTGTGAACCCCTCCCTGCGCTACGTGGGCTACACATGATCCAATCAGAAGAGACCCCAATGCCGATGCCAGTGGGCTTCTCAAAAACTGGTGCTTGGTCGGGAATAAAGGAATGAGCTCCCAATTCCCAACAGATTCCTTTGGACCTATTCCCCCATTCCCTACAAAGCACAATTCACAATGTACCAAACTCCTCTGGAACATTCGATCGGTTCTGCACCCTTTGTCCGACGGGCGTCCATTGACAATGCCTCGGTCCTGGGTATCATGGATCATCCGTTGGGTGTCCCTGATCATCGGCCACCCTGCATTACCAAAAAACTATACCCAGTGGATTCCACTTACCACTTACCACAAAAAAAGGAACCAGGGATTCTAAGTCTATGGTTTTCGTCTTTGAAACCATTGGTTACCAGCGACATCGTGGTTTGCCTGGATCCCCTGGGATAGTTTGTGAATGGTCGACCTATACCATTCTGCTTCATTTCTCATTCGTCCGAATTCGGCTCCACAGGGCTTCAGTTTCTCCCTCAAGCTCTCCTTTTTCCACGTCGCGTATTTTTAGGTTCTCCGGAAAGGCTCAGCCGCTCAGCCAAAACTCTTACTATGTTTTATACGTGTGGGATCTTGTGGGTGACCAAACATCAATTCGGAATACATACGGATAGTTGGTGTGAAAAGGATTGATTCTTGCTATATGTTGCCACATCTTCCACGTGACAATTTCGCCACATGCCCAATAAGCAGGTAGATGGTAGTAGATGCAGTGACACCACCAAAGCAGCGCCCATGTCGCTCCGCTTCTGCAACACTTCGCCTCTCTTCCTCGCTGTCATCATCGTAGTCTGGCGCTGTGTCACAAGCGACGCGTGTGGGTGAAAAAAGGTGTCGTTGGCTCCTGCCAGCCATGTACAGTGACCTCTTTTGGAGTCTCTAAAGTAACCTCTTCGGGGACTAAGGGGATCTCCTTCTGGGATCTCAAGTTCGGTCACTGTGAAGGTCCTTCTCTAGACGTCTCTATACCTAGCAAGTGACCTGTACGCATTGAAGACCTTATATAGCCAAAACAAAACAACCGCCGGATGACTCCGAGAACCCCTGTCCTCAGAGCAGCGCGACAGCGCGGCCTCACCCGGCCTTCGGAATCGGAATCAGAAGGCCAGCACGGGCATCGCCCACCTGGTTACGGCAGCCAGGACCAGTTCGCAGACGTCCAACTTCGGTGACGTCCGGTTTTTGAAAAAACACTCCCAGGAAGAGACATGCCTGGGCCTAGTCAAGCTGCTGCGCAGGCAACGAAAAAGAAACAAACACACCACCATGCACCACCCAATGCCAAAGGGTCCAAAAACAATCCTTTGGGTCTGGTTCTATATTTATCTTGGTCTTTGTTCTCAGTGTCAAAGAGGTGCTGGAACTGGTTCTTGTTATTTTGTTTTCTTGGTCTTTGCTCTTTTGATGATGTATTTCTCAATTTGTGTTGGGAACGTGCTTTTTCGAGCGAGTTGGGCGAGTTGCGGTGGGGCGGTGCTGTTGCAGTTGCAAGTTGCTCAATAGCAGACTGTGGAGTTGGGAAATCATATTGCGGGTCTAGTAGGCCACAGGGAAGAATGAGTTTCTCCGTGATTTTGCTATGTGACATTCCAAGAAGGTCCCAGGAGACCAGAGGTGCTTGGGATAGGTTTGGAGGGTCTAAGTACCTTCTGACAAGGCATTTGGAGCATCTTCGGGAAATACGTTCCACTCCCTGAATAAAGCATGGTTACCTGGATGGCATGGCCCCGATTTCGGATGACCAGATTCGTCGAACAGGTGGTGAACTCCACATCTGCCTATAGACCCGCACCTATCCACGGGTCGCCGCACCTTCCCTCCTTGGGCTGGACAAAAGACTGAAGAAAGGATATGACTAAGCACACATGACACCCATCCGCAACCCATATCACCCATCTGCGATGAAATTTGGTGAACCCGGAGGCTCATGCTCTTCAGAAAACCGCATGCGTTCATACACTGATGCTGGATTTCGTTAAGCAACTCTAACATCCCTGGCAGAGTACGCAGCTCCTGCTGCTGCTGCTGCTGCCGCCGCCGCTGCTGCTGCTCTTGTAACCAGCCCTGCCCGGCTCTTGTATATGTTTATCCAATGCCACAAACTCTGTGATGATGATGATGCTGATGTAAATGTGTATATATATATATACTATGTATGTCCAGTGGCACAAAAAAGGACCTCTAAAATTGCCCTGAAGTGCGCCAATAGGATCCTCCAAACTCTGCCGGCATCACGCCACATCGCAGGCCAGGTTCATTCGCGCGAAATTGCGCAGGCATGTGTGTGGTGCTCTGTGGCTTGGGAAAAAAATCCGAGTGAGACTTGACTTGATCAAACCATTCGGTTGACCGGAGGAAACACATCAGCACTACGATATAATGATATACTGATTGCCTACCTGCCAAGCCTGAAACCGTGGAGAATATAAGCATACTAAACCAACTACCAGGCTGACCTCAGTGCAGAACTCCCAGGTACGTCCCAAGGGTATCTTTCACGAACCTCGCTTGATCATGTCTGCCAGTTGATTGGATCGCTCTTCTTGCTTCAACAGTTGTGGACACTCTTCTTGCTAACCTCCATTTGTCTGCCAGTTGATTGGTTCACACAATGCTTTTCATTGGACCATGTTGGACTCCTGCTAAAGGCCTTCCTTGCCATGGCCGACCTCGACTGCGCGACCCGACTTGCTCGGTGCTGTGGGGCTCAACATGTTGGACCGAGGAGGAGACGCTGAAGACAAAGCAAGTACCCCCCAAACACGACCTGTGCATCTGTGCCAATCAGGGTTGGTTGAAAGGGGATGATGATTCTGGACAGGTACCAGGTACATCCAGGTACCACATTCTTCAGTTATCGGGATTAATCCTGCACAAATTCCACCAGCCAAATTCTATTAATGTGCTCAGTGTCATTCGGCTTCCCGTTTTTCACAAGTAGATCCCCCCGGAACCCATGTCATGCAGCCGCGATCGCAAGCCTGACATGAGAATTGACACATAGGCGCTGAACATCGCAAGGCGCTGAACATCGGGGCGTGACATATGTTTGTTGGATCTTTTGGGATACCCCTCCAAAAAAAAGAAACATAGCACAAAGTTATATAGGGGTGTGTGCATGTGTGTTTTTTTAACCGCGTTTTGGTGGTTTGAGCTCTCAATCAAAACAAACCTCAATGTTTGAGACCGGCCCAATAGGTCTGATCAATTTCTATGTCCCGAACCTTCCGCACTTGCCGAAAAAGCGACCGGTCTCCTCCAAGTGGATGGACATTAAAGGCATCACGACATTTTGGACCGCGGAATGACTCGAGATGAGGCATCGCTAGCAGTGAAACCCCGCGGACCAAAAGCGGGTGGAGGTCCTCTGCACCGTCCACAAACGCCGGAACTTTGCGGCAGGTGGATAAGGTGCCAGGCTCAAAGGGAATGTGTGGGATGATCTAAATGACAGGTGTTTCTAACCCGAACCTATTATTATAGAATGCCATGTTAAATAACTGCAAAAAGACATATGCAAACACAAACATATATATGCAAACATTGTTTGATCAGGGAATTCTCTTCGATCTATTCCACTATCATTGTCGATCTTTGGCAGCAGGACATATTTTCTGGTCCAAAAAAAGGCCCATCCACAACAAACCATACACAAGGATCCATGGGACAACAAGTATGGCCTACACTGGTGGTTTTTGGTGCTGCATGAACGGTCATATGATGCCGAACGTCTGGGAACGTCTGGGATGTGCAAACCCTATGATGACGAAAAAAGGATGCCACACGTGCCCAAAGAAGTTGAGAATTTGCAGCAATTACTTGCCTCAAACAAATATTCCAAACCTAACTAGCATTTTGAACCAGTTGGGGTGGTTCAAAAAAATACCCTAGAGCCTGAGTGACCTTCATTTTGGACCCAAATACCACCCCAAAATAGAGCTTGCTGCCACTAGCTTCCGAACTCAAACTCAACGATCTTAGATGGATTCTACATCCGATCTGCCATCCCACACCTCGGGAGTATCCCACACCTGGGGGGCAAAGCCTAGCTACCCATCAAGGCCATCTTTGGTGAATCCTGAAGAGACGAAGAGACGAACCCGACACAAGAGGTGCCCCGTCTGGGTACCATGAAGTAACCATGAACTATTCAAAAGCGCCGACCTGTCTGTTGACCGTTCAAGAGATCGTGAATAAAATCCAAACAGCTATTCAGTTATTCCCAAACAAAAAGCCAAAAACTATCTTGGAGCTTTATCCTATAGTTCTTGGAGCTAGTTCATCCTCAGTGTGCAAAGCTCCTTGCGATATTGCATGATATTTCTGTTTGGTTTCCACTACTCTCAGGTCATGTTCCTCTGAAAAATAGTCATCATCATAGTCGTCCTGATGTAGAACAACTGTGAATTCATCCCAAAACATGATTGAATGAATTTTCTTTGGATTTGTCCCACTATTATGCATATTTAAACATATATCTCATTTTTGAATATTGTATCCCTCACGTTCCCTCACCAGAGGGTCAAAGACCAGCTCAAACAATTTATATATATATATATATTATTATGCATCGGGTTGTTGGACGTATATGAACATTGCATCGCTTCCTCTACCTACCGGGCTCCTTGCCCACATCCAAAGTCTACCGGTGGTTGGGGTGACTCGCCAACGTTTTTCTGGTGAGGCCAGCAGAAGTTGTGCGCCAGCAGAAGTGGTGCCTCCCAGTTGTGTCGCTCCAAAAAAGTTGACCTGCACCGCAACCGAACCGAACCAATACCTGTCAGCATGAATAAGACTGCACTGATTGGTGTCAAGTGGCTTCTAGGCAGTGCTTTGAGATTGTGCTAGTGGCTTTCTGACAGAACCCAACAGTTCTCAGTCAAAGGTATTGAATAGAACAAGAACATTCTTCCCATGCAAACCCGACAATCATTATGACCACTGTTCAAGCCCCCAAACTAGGTAGCTATGCCAGTTCTCATCTAGTGAATCTCCCAGTTCCTCCGCGCACGATCCACCCGCGATCCACCCGCAGTGCCCGGTGGTTTTTCGCGCCTTGGGTTTCACGCTTTGCGCCTCTTTGGTGGCTTTCTGAATGGTCTTCAGATCCGTCTGGTCGGTGGGCACGACGGCCCAGGCCTGCCGCGGTCGGGGGAAGAACGATGTCACACCACTGGACGCACGAAGGAAGACCCGACCACTGGACCAGTAGATCCAAAATCTGTGGAAAAGTGATGGCATTGGGTTCTGTTCGGAAAGGCGACCGCCGGAATTCAGCATCAGGTGTGCAAGTTCCAAGCACCCGGCAGGCCCAAAAAACACACCAGAAGTGGAAATCCAAAGCGAATGGTTAGGTGGAAAATGATTGATTCAGGGTCCATGTGGACTGCTTTGAATCTAGAAAGGGATACTGTATCAGGATATATATCCAAAAATAGAGAAGTGAATTGGCCGAGGGTTCTAATGTATGTACGTTGTATTCTTTTGTGTGCCTTGGAATCAGAGCTGTGCCAGAAAGAGAATCCAAAGTATTCATCCCACTCTTCAGTGAGTATATGACACACACACACAAAACCAAAACACACCACCACCCGTGTAGCATGACACCATCTGTCGGACTCTGAAACCATCTCCACATCTCTGCGAGAGATTGGCATCTGAAAACACACAGCCACCCGAAAGCTCCGTCTCCCACGCCGCGTTCAGCGAAACCCGCAGTGAGGCGAAACCAGAAAACCGCGAGGCGAATTACAAATTAATGGCTACTAACAGCCCGGCCAGGGCCTGGGAGGTTTTGCCGGCTTTGGGCGCGGCGTCCTCCGATAAAATGTTGGCCTCGGAGGGGTCTTGCGGGATGAGACCCAGCGAAGTGACGAGGGTGAGCAGGTGCATGAAAACAAATGATTTTCTAGGGTGGTGTTACCTTGGGTCACAGCTGCTCAAGGTGCTGTGGCTGGAGACACCCGTGCAAGGGTTGTACAATACTGATGGATCTCTACCCACTACTCCTGTTTGAAACATCCCTGCGCCGACTTGGGGCCCTGCCAAATGTCTTCGAAATCTTTGTCTTTCTCCGTCACTGGTGAATGTGATGTCAATTGGCTGCGCGAATTGCAGCCGCACCTGTACAAAAACACCAAACTCCAAACAGCCATGCTGACATGGTTGTTCCGACAATGTGCTTGGCATGACTCTTCAAACTCCTCACGAACCGTTGGCGCTGCTATGGCGCCTTCGGGCTGGACTCGGCGAAGAACCAAACACCCTGCAAATCGTCAAAGTCAAAGGGCCCTTTTGACGCCTGCCGGGTGCTGGTGCGGCCTGCGCTTTGTTGTGTACTTTGCGGCATGTCCCAAACTAAGGTGGCTTCATGAACTCAAGTGCCCGGCAAGCAGGTTACGATTTGATGATGCTCCAGCGCACTGGCTGGAACACTTGAGATCCTAACTGGCTTGAACACCCTTGCCCTGACTTTGAGCATTCGTTGCTCTATGAGGCGAGCAGGCCCTGGCACAACAGCTTCTACTGTGACCAGCTAATATAATCTTGAACTCAACAGTTGAAAGCTACTGAACAAAGAAACACCACTAGGTTGGACTTTTTAGAAGGCTCCGAGACTTGCAGTGGCATGCACAAGACGCGGCATTACAGAACCAAAAGAATGCTCCCACTCCCACCATGACTTGCGTCAGAATTCTAGGAAATTGCCATCACATTCAAGCGACCGTGCAAAATTCCAGTGCGTCACTCTCTCAGGGATATGTTGAATCAAAATTGGCGACTCTGGAAAAACACACTCTTTCCACTACATATTCGAAGATGCTCAAAAAACAAACCATGGGAAAATCATAGGACAGTACAATAATACACCTATATGAGTCCAAACACGTGCTATTTGCAGATTCTAGTGCAAAGACTGTAAATACCGGCAAACTCGCCAAAGACGGTGCTCAACGCACCACCGATGAGAGCCGCGGCTCGGACGATTCAATGGTCAAACAGACTGAACCAAGGTCACACCCCTTAATTGAACCCAACTTGGCTTTGTTCAATAAATTGTCAATCATTCAACAGAACCAATTTCACGTAATTTCTCGCCGCGCCTGTGATATTTACATACTTTCACACAATTTCATGCAAATGTCACGTGCTTTGATGTTCAACTGGGCACGGACCACGCATGTTCATACCTGCCAAAGGGTGCACCATGGTGCACCCAGTCTGTTCTAATGCACTGCCAATGCACGCTTCCCAGCCGACGATGTTCCATTTACATTCTTTAGCACCAAGTATGTGAATAGCAACATTTCTCACCAAACACGTAAATCCTGCAAGATTGGGCCGGTTTGTATGTGAATAGTACATGATTGTGTTCGAACTCGGAAAACTGACTTGGAATCCACCATGTTGGGTTGGATCATGTTGGATCCACCTTCAGATCCGAGCCTGGAGATGTTTACTCCATCCCCCAGCCGTGGGAGTGGTTGGACCATCGCTTCGGGAGTGGGAGGTGGTTTCTCCAACAACTTTCGGTGGTGTCCAACAACTCATCGTTGTTGTTAGGGATGCTTTGGGGCCTTCACCTTCACTATGACTATGACGTTCCGCAACTTTCAGCCTTGTGACCTTGTGCAAAAAGATCTTATGGCCCTGTCTAGCTGACCTGCACTCTTGAAGAAAAGACGTGATTGCCAATGATAGCCCTGTGAGCACCGCCCACAGAAGGATCGTCATCAGTATATAGATAGAATAAAGCAAAACCAAAACATGGTGTTGGCATGTGCTGGTCTTGTTCCACAGGCCAACCAACCCAATCTAGGCCGCAACAAGCGACAACAAGCCACCTGGGGATTTAAAAGACGTCGTCTTCCCAGCGCCGTGTCAAAAAAAACTCTCTGGCTGCACAAAATGGCGACCCTTAGACACAAACATGCCCCATCATATCACATCATTCGTACAATTTGGTGCTGAATTGCTTGGATTCAACTTCTCAAACTTGGGGTGCGCGGTAAAACGGTAGTCACACGTCGGTCAGAATCGGTGGGCCGACCGTGTCACTCCCGTCATTTCAAAACAAAAAACAAAGAAACGGTGCCAAAGAATCTGTGTATTTTCCCCCTGGCACCACCCCAATGCTATAGGCATATATTCCATACATCGAGTGTCTGGCATATATATAGGCCATTGGCCAGGATTCAACGGAGCTCAATCATGCAACGTATAGCTCAAATAGCAACGTCGCTGCCCAAGATGCTAAAGAAGATTAAAGAAGTCTGCAAGCCGGGCCGTGTCACGCGAAAAAGGGCCCCAACACTTTGAAATGCAAACGGTTGATGAACCGTATAGTGGATCCAAATACCTTCTGAGAAGGTGATTGGAGACTATTTATGTAGGCTGTAGGCTTGGAGGCCTCAAGTACCTTCTATAAAGGTATGTGCATCCCTGGGGGAAAAGAACGCCCCCTTCGAGAACGGTTCACCTCCAGGGGGCGCTGTTTGTGTCATGTGTTTTCATCCAACTGTCCTGATGACATGTCATTTTGCTTCGATTGAATTCAAAACCTGCTTTGGGCCACCGATCCGACGACCGACGTCGCTGATGCCTCAAACTTCTCTTCTGATTCGTTGGATGTCACCACCGTCCTCGGCGCGTCCATTCCGGGTGAAACTCGTTCGTTCGAACGGCTCCAACATGATCTCAGGTTCCATTGGGTCTGCTGTCTACCCACCCACCCCACAAAAAAAAAGAGAGTATAACTATCGCAATAGTCCAGGGTGGTTCAAATGAAACCCAAGTACCTCACATAGATTAAGGCAATCCATCATTGTCTAGTCGCACCCGTAGGACCTCTGGTGGTGTTTTCCGGTGCAAGCACATAGACGAGACGCATGGTCGCCTTGGGCTTTAAATATCTTTCAATTGGTGATATAAGACTTGTTGCCAGCAATAGCACCATTTTGACTTGATAAACAACACAGGCAAGAAATATGAAGAGTTCTTCTGCATGTGTCATTGTTTTCATGATCTGATCAAAGTACAAGGTGGTTGCTTTAGCTCTTTGCTGAGGTGTCCTTGCAAGACTGTTGAGGGAGCTACCGTGTCTTGCCGTTTGAGGCACAGTTGGCAAATCGCTCGTTTGGGTATTGATTTTGTGTCGCACATGTCTGCTTGCTTCTCCATCTTAATCATTTATAGAGTCTGGGGGTGATCACTGTGTCACTAGATCTTCGGTACCATTCTTCCAGGAACAAACCAAGAGCCTTCTTGGATAGAAGGTGACATGTCTCAACTCCCTGCTAGCGCTGCTAGCGGATCCTGCGGATCAAGGAAAACACTTCCACACAGCGGCCGATGTTGAGCACACCAAGGTGACACGTTCAACAGTTCAACCTTCGTTCAGCTATTGGAGTCCTACATGAAAGAAGCATGGGTGACGCCCATGCGTATAGACCCACATGGAAGCTGAACATCGCTGGTTTGTCGATGAACATGGACTTCCAGTCCGGTCCCTGCCAAGCGTTCCATGTGGGTTTTAAACACCGGGTGCACGTGGATGGCATGTTTCGGCCCCCAGATCCCCACCCAAGGTCCAGCCGGGTTACGGTGACCTGACAGCCTTCAGAGCTTCATCACGCCCTTGGTGCCCTTGAAACACTTCATCCACTCATGCACCAAGTCTGTCCAAATCATTCCCGGTTTCAGAGGAAGCGTACACCCGGGGTTGGAGACACACATGGAACCTGACTGATGGCATGGACCAAACTGGAAGTCTATGTTCCTCTACAATCCAGTGACTTTCAGCTTCCATGTGGGTCTCTTCAAGGGCGCAAATGTTCCCTTCACCTCCCACGTCTCGTCCCACGTCCACACGTCTCGGTGGCTCTTTGAACGGTGGGAGGATATCGTCGTCGGAGTCCGTATCCATTGCCGCCTGGTATTTTGGTTGGCGAGGCAGGTGGAGATGGACATGTATTTTCCCAAGGAGTACCCAGCTGAACAAAAAATCATATAGTAATATATAGTAATCATATATCTACGCACAGTCATTTACGAGTATAATTACAAAAAGAATCAAAAAAACATCTGCGAAGTTCTTGCAGTTGGAGTTGGAGATTCAAGGGCAGAACTCCCGCTTCGTTGGAAGAATCCATTTGCCTTTTCCAGAACCCAAAGGATCCAACGAAAAACGGATGTCCAATGCAATTGGGCATGGGTCAATGATGATTTCCTGCATTCCAACTTATCGCACATGGCTTCATGTTGTCCCTCACCGGTCACCCTCCAAAAGTGAGAGGGCCCGTAACGGGCGGGCCCTAGAGGGCATGTCTGTGTTTCTTTCAGGCCAGAAGGATGACTCGTGCTAAAAGACTGGTTGTTGCGAGAAGGAGGTTTGAAAACGAGCTGCTCCGAGGCCAAAAGCCTGACTTGAATGATGGTGGATATGTTTATTTTCCAAAGCGGTAAATACAGTCAGATGCTTCACAAAACCCAAGATACAAAAGGCAGGCAGGGTATATCATGGCCATGTAGCCCCACCCTGGACCAACGCGCTCTTGCGCCTGGTCCACGTGCTCATCCGCATCATAGTATTTCTCATCCACATTCATCCTGTCAAATCCCGTGTCTTCAGCTGATCAGCTCAAACTTTGGCCATTCCTCCCCAACCAACACATCGACAAACACCTGGTAAATGGTACATGTGTTGTTTCTCCACAGCGCTGCTGGGCGCTGCTGGCTGATCCTGTATATAACAGGACTTTATAGATACAACTCCTCTCTTCTGGCTCTCTCTCTCTCTCTCTTGCATACAGGTCGAGTCGCATCGGTCTGACGAGTGATCGAACACCCTGCCTCCAAAAGCGGCTCCAAAAGCTGCGAAAGGGAATCACCTCGTTTTTCGCAGCGCTTCGGCGGTGTGAAAGAAAGAACAGATCTGAGCCACCCGGCGGCTCCAAGAAACGGCCGGGCTACATCCATCGCATAAATTCGAACAAATCATGAATTCCTCCGCTTTTCAACATTGAACTCGCTTTCAGTGGTCTGTGAATGCAAGCTACAAAACCTCAACAAACTGCGAACAAAAATACCAACACATCTGGAGCTTTGGGAGATGAAGCCTTGGAGTCTGTCCATTTTCTGGAAAACCGGTCGTCTGGCATCCGCCGGTCGGTCGGAGTCATCCCACGCCACGCATATCATCCGTGCTCAGCCGGCTGGTCCCGGGTGTTCAGCCCTTCGCCGGTGTTCAGCCCTTCGCCGGATGACGGATAGATCATCGGTGGGAGTCATAGGGTCAGTGAGGACAACCACCATACACCTGTGTCCATGTTTTTGTCCCGCCTGGAAATCCATGAAACATGTTGAGTCAAATGGCTCATAGCAATGTGTTACAACTGTGAGGCTCCTCTGTATCGCAGGTTTCTTGTTGCACACGACTGGACCAAACTCCCAGTAGTTATTTGTGCAACTTGAATGGCTAGGACGTGGAGAGCCTTAGCTGTCATCCGTCACAGCTGCCATATGGTTGAAGAATCCCGGCAACCCATTTCTGCCCCGTAGAAGGGCTTCTCACAAGGAGGCGCTAAAGCTCAAGTAAAAATAAAAATATGAAGACATGTATAGTTTCGTCTATATTTCCTTTGCCAGTTGTACCCTTGCTTTGGAATTGAACATCATTGAAATAATCCTCATGTTCCCCTACCAGATCTTTTTGGAATTGTTCCTTGATGGTCATCTGGAAGCTTGCGTCACTGAGCGAAAACATGTGTTCTTCGTTTCATGCACAAATCATCACAAATCGGTTGTCCAGGTTATAGACCCTATCACTTGGGAAATTGGAGCAATCGATCAGACAAACTTATCACATGGCACCATCTGAATAGAAAACACATCTTTACCACCACCCAGCTAGAGATTCCGAAAGTTCTCAGCATCGGTCCACAGTTGAGTTTTAGAAATAATTGGGTTTCAATGGAATCCCACGCAGTTCGCAGCCATGAAAATGGAGCGCAGTTCGCCGCTCGACTCAGCCCAGCTTACGTACCAGCAAGTTCTTCTCCAAGGCGCTGTGAGGCTGCATCGTGTGAGCACCAACAGGGAGAGCCGCTGGCTTAGAACATTGGCAGGGCCCAAGGTATGTACAAATGAGACGCTCACCTGGGCACCAGCGAGAAAAGGGACCGAAAGGACGCTGCGACGCAGCTGGTTCATCCGAAGGTATTGGAACAAACGTCAAGTTGCCCGATTTCTTGGAACATGAGCACGAAGGATCAAGGGACGTACCCTCTCTGGAACTCACATGGAAGTGGAACCCCCCCTGTTTGTAGAGCACAATAGTCTTCCAAGCAGCCATTTTCCACTTCCATGTTAGTTCCAAGGAGTGTAATGTTACCCTCCCTCCCACAAATAAGTCGTTGAGAACCCCTGTTTGATCCTGTTTGTAAAGGAGAACCGCGACGCGATATATAACTTCTGATCAACGAAGGTACTGTGCTGTTGCTATGTAGGTCAACGCCACAAACATCAAGCACTGAGCAATGTAGGGCGCACAAAATTTCCGCCGCCAAGGAAGCTCTGGCACTCTTCCATCCTTCAATCCTTCAAAGAAGCTACACGCCATACACATGGTCAACTCCTTGTCGCCGTAGCATGTCTAGACCCAAAGTGGATGCCCCACATTCCCCCTGCCCCCCGAGCCACCGTCCCGTCCGGTCGCTCGAGCTCGCCGAGCGAAGCGCGCTCGCGAGCTCGCGGGCACCGAGGAGCTAAGGGAATGCCGCCCCGGCGGACCTGGCAGGTCTCGATCAAGGAGGCCATCCTCGGTGCCAGCAGGCGGGCCATTCCTAGGGTCTGACGTCAGGGGAAGAAACTGAAGGAACTGAAGGGGGTCTTGGTCAAACATCTGGTCCGAAGTGGGCGCGGACTTAGTCTCTGACCCCTGATGCGCAAGGAAAAGAACATGAAGAAACTGATGGATGGGAACCACGCGTTCCGCATGGGCGACCAGATCCGATCGAGCGAAGGGTAACATCCCAAACATGACCAATGGGATTGGCAACTGGACTGGCAGTAAACTGCCTACTACTATGGATCCACATACCTTCTGAGAAGGTGATGTGTTCGACACATTTTATGTACAGTAGTAGGTTCGGGGAGTCGGCACGTACCTAGACCCAGAACTTCTGAGTTGGTCTGGACCCAAAGAGGCCGCCCCATTGACCCTGGGTCAACCCATGGAGAAGCTTTTGGGAAAGCTTTCTTTAGAACAAAGAGCAGAATCAGACCCTGTGCGTTGCCTCCTCTCGGCCAAAGGCTCGTCTCAGGGTTGACGGCCACCTCCCAAATGCCCTTGACACTGCCAGTGATGCCTTTCGCATTACGCCTGACAGCACGACAGTTTGGACCAGGTGAAATGATGTGAATCTGCTGACGAACCGACCATGTACCATCATGTACCAAACAAGTGGGACTGTCGCTTCCATATCACCACCTGGATGGTCCAAAATGTGGTACGGCCTGGGTGTGGCGGGTCTGTTCTTCATCAACAAACGTAACAAACCACCCAGTCGCGCCAAATCTATGGCGACCACCTGAAGTCTTTGGGGTGGGAGATGCAAACCTGCACACACTGCCGTTCCATATACTGCTATATACATACCATCATACGGTCATACCAATTGTTAAAAACACATACCAAAAAAACGGTTCTCCAGTTCCCACTCATCAAAAATGCCTCTTCCGTTTGAGTCCCGGTGGTCCGGAGTCCGGACTCATTCGTTGCTTGCGCTCGCCCCGGTGCACAGGCCTGGTGATCACCTCCTCGCTGTCTCCGGCCAGCTTCCGCCGCTCGCGCGGCACACGGCGGAGGACCTGGACAGACCCATGACCATCCCATGACCCGTTTTTTGATATAGGGACATTGAGATCCGTCCTGGGTTTCCAGGTGAATGATCATGCCCTGCCACGAAGAGTCACCTGGATGTACGGCAACCGCAACACGGGGCCCCTGAAACGGGGGTCCGGTGCGGGTGCGCCTCTTGGAAGTAGCGTCTGCGAGACGTACTTTCGAAGATCAGCATCTCGACGTTGATCTCCGTGCGGTCCCACAAAAGGCACAGGAACTGCCGGATCCTGCCGGCTTTGTTCATCCGATGGAGCGTGATCTAACGTGACACACCCGGCCCAAGCTCTACGAGTAAACATGAAACAAACTCTGAAGTTTAACCTTCGATGCCCCAAAAAGTGGGAAAACCATGACGCAAAAGAATGACCGAAGCGGATGCTATGCAGGTTCCTGTTCACATCGAAATCAGAACCAACGGGTCACCAAAGAACAGGATGTTTCGCCCCAGAGAAGCGATATCATGCTACTATGCTCGCTATGCAGTCCAAAACCACTGAAGCTTTGGAAGTCGGCCATCCACCTGACCCCCACCAGTCGGCCCGCCCCGAAACGGGACGTGTTGCTGTCTGAGAGCACCTGACCGGCAAAGACCTGTTGACCTTATGGCCACCCTTCAAACATCGTTGACATTGGTTGACCTGGTTGAGTCTAACATCCTTAGGCTTAGGGTTTAGGGTTTAGGGTCAAAGACCGTTGACATTGAGTTCACATTGCTTTGGGGGATCGAAGAACTCAATTCCTTGGACTCTGACGCGCGCCCGTCACGGCACGGATTGGGCCAAGCCCCGAACACCGGTCCACGCGCGGACCGGGAAGCGGAAGCGCTCTCCTGGAGGAGAACACGGCGCGGCGGATGTTGCCTCACGTCGGGTCACGATGCCTGGCGACCCTGTGGCGAAGAGGCCTCTCACAGACGAGGTCCTCGGGGTCCAGAACGTCTTTTTGGAGCATCCGAACCGGATGTTTGTGGGCCCGATCCTTTCCGCCCACTCTCTAGAAGTATGCACTCAACGGCAAGATCATCTTCATAGCTCATAGGTACATTAAAGATGCGTAAACATGCTGATTGTTAAATAATGTTAAATCCCAAAAGTGTCCACCAAAATGTCTCTGGTGACCTTCCAAACGTCTAGAAATTTCTGTCAGGTTGGGGCCAAAATAATGATCTTTGAATTTGGATGAACTTGGAAAACACATTGTCTCAACTAGTGGCAAGTGGTTTGGGCACTGCCTTTTTTTCTTGTCTCCCAAATTGAAAGGGAAGAACTGCACACCCCAAACCCTCAGTCGCTCCGTCCTGAGCACCAGCTGGAGTGGAGTGCCTCCGACCCTCCTAAGCCTCCCGCCTCTAAACGAAAAAGAAGGTCTTACAAACTCAAAGAAGGTCTTACAAACCAAAGACTTGAGGAATGTCATGGAAGCGGACTCTGTCAAATCCTTAGGAATTCCTGATATGCACAAGACCTCTCCAGAAAGTCTCTCAAAATAAAGAAGCATCAAGCCTGAGACATAGTCGGATCTCTACAAATCAACGGCTGAAGTCTGCCCTCATCTGCCCTCAAATCGAATGTATTCTTGAGAAAGCAACATTGGATCATCTGAACACATTAATATCATTGGTTGTTCCTTTTGATTTCAATGGAAGTTGAACACTGCAAAGGAAATGATAATGATAAAGGAACTCATCAAGAAAGCTGTCACGGTTTCCATGTATCTCATATATACTTCATTATACTTCTATACTTCCACATCTCACTTAAAGCTGCATGACCAACCCTCCCGGTGTTTTGTGTGTTTTCGCATCACCACTGCCCACGCTGCGCGGGGTCGGTCACGCTCACGCTGCCAGGGGGCGCATGTCCCGCACGGCGAGCACAAAGAGGTCCGAGCGCTTGGGCTGTGGCACCTCGTCGTCGAAGCCCAAGAAGACCAGGCGGAAGCGCGAGGTGGTCACCAAGATACATCGCTGCTCCTCGAGAGCGAGACTCGACTCGACTTCTGTCGACCGTGGGGTAGTACGGGTGGGTGAGTGATAGGACGAGCGAAAGAGTGAGTGAAGACAACGACTTAGTTGTGTGGGGGGTTAAACGTGTAGTACTACACACGCGGCAAAAAAACACAGGGTTATTAACCTTTCGTTTTTTGGGATGTGATCGTGTGAGTGGCAGCCGCAGTGCTTCACTTGCCATCTTTTGCGAACTCCCTCAAGGCTGGGCGAGTTTGTGGTGGGGGTTGGACTGGTGGATGTGGAGGCCCTGTGGAGAAAGAAGTAGACAAGAGTTTCTGCCTGATGCCCCGGTGGAGGTCCATGCATTGAAACACAGCTGGGTACAGGATCCTTCACAGCCATCCGGCGTGGGAAGAGGGAGCCTCACGGGGATTGATGATTCACCCAACTTGGTCTGCAGACTCTGAACCCATGCAAGAACTCTTCAAAAGCATTATATAACAAATGAGCTATAGGGCCTACCACCTGGTAGACAATCCTTCAATACCAGCAAGCTAGAAGCAGGCTTCTTACTGACCCAAGCAAAGCTAGTCAGTCGGGCAGGGTGCCAAACCACTATCATAAAATGTATGAGTCGGGTGCCGCTATATAAAGTGTTTAGATGATTGGGAGGTATCCGTCACAATCACAAACCCTGCCCCACACATAGCCCAACATCCGGCACGTCGGACGTCGGACTTGCGAACGGTCCAGACATCGAGCTCGGTTTAGCTAGTCCAACAGATTGCCCCTTCTGAACACTGCAATACTTGGATTGGCTGCCCAGGAACTGCGAACATTAATATTCAACACGTTTCCAGAATTCACCCTTAGGGAAAGTAAAGATCACCCTAATTATCACCCTAAGCAAAACCAAGGCAGCCTGGTCGTTTCTGAGACTAACAACAAAAACATCCCCACCAAACTCTTGGCCTTTTGAACCCCTGTCCCATTCTGTCCCTTTCTGTTGCATTCTTCCAAGCCCCAAGCTCTCCACAAAAAAAGACAACTTTCAGAAAGATCTCACTCCAGGGTCCCCACTCAAAACACACAAACACCCTTTTTACAGAGTGTTGAAACGAGAAGAAAACACCTTCACCAGTTTCAAACCGGGTCTTTGGAACACGTGTTCACCGTTCGCTTTCTGGCCCGTTCGCTTTCTGAAAAGATAAAAACCACCGGTCCTCCAGGCTCTTATCGTTCCGGGCCCAGACATAGGCGATGGTACTGACGCGTTCGGTACCATAGAGCCGCTTCTCCTCGTGGTAGTCGAGAGCGCCCTCCTCGTTGAGAGCGGAGAGCGGAGCGGTGTTCCCGCTCGTCCGTGGAGGCGGGTGTTCGGTCGAAAGCGGGAACTTGAACGTGGTCGAAGGGGAAGGGCATGGCATGGCCATGTGGCCATGGCCGTGGGGGAGATGGAAGCTGGAAGCATGCATTTGCAATCTGAAGGGTATGTGTATACCATGTGGAAGTGTAGAATGAAGAGACTGGATGGATCGGTTTTCTGCACCAACCTTGAAAGGTCTGCCACCTGTAGAAACTGTTTGCTATCACATGAAGGATTATGTTTTAGCCAAGTGATGGAGTTCGAGACATGGAATAGAAACTCGGATCTATGTTAGATGACTCCATTTTACTTATTGACACTACAAAGCAGGAGACCCCAAGGGTTGAACATGATAATCCCGCTGGTCAGCTTTGTAGATTATATAGCACGAAGAAGACAGGGAGTTCTTCAAATCTCGCCTCAGTCGACCCATTCCACCTTTAATGATTCTTACATCATTCTATATCTAAAGTTTATATATATATATAGACAGCTTTCTATACTGCAGGAGCAGTACGCCTTCTTCAAGCTTCTACTGACTCCGACTCCCTCAGTCTTGCTGGAAAAGAAAGGCTCCACTCCCTCAGTTTTGCTGGAAAAGAAAGTCTCCACCTTAACTGTCCATGTTTCGATGGGAAGCCCCAATCGCCAAGTTGGTTTATGATCCACTTTTCCTAGGGGTCTACATCATCATTCAACCACAAATGTCATAGTGTTTACATATATCATATATCATATATCATATATATAATGGGGGGTCCCTTAGATACCTCAGACCGTCGATACCTCCAGGAATATTTATCTATTATTCCTGGAGGGTTGAACATCGATTTGGATAATTATTCCACAGGGTGGGAACCTCCTAGAATAATTTCTGGCATCTTAACATAATAATCCTATAGGTTTAGGTAAATAGTCCAAGGTGTCACGACATCACTCTTGGAAAGCTTTGAAGCAGCGTGCAATCTTGAACAGAAACAACTTGACACACATCCAAGTCTCTCTCAAAATATTCCAGCAGTATGTGACCTCTAGATTACATATGGAATATATTATATATTTTGTAAACTGACCAATCCCCAGTCTCTTCACCTAATGTACTGCCAAAATCTGTTGGATCCATTTCAATATATGTATTTGAATCAAAAATCAAACATCCCAAGCTCATATCCAAAAGCTTATTGTGTCCAAGAGTTTCTTTCTGCATTCAAAAAGACGACATCGATTGATATCGACTGTTTTGATTCGACTTATTAATTTACCTCTATTTGGTATGGACCCCTCTGGATCCCTCTGAGATGATCGCTCAGTTTGGACAGCGCTTTAACATATTTATACCTTAAACAATTATTCCACGACAAGCTCCACGGTGGGGTATGGCATACCTGCATGGAAAAATATTCCAGAAAAAATATTCCAGCAAAAATATTCCAATACGTAAGGGTATGCCTGGAATAATTTCCCAAGGCACCCGCCATTATATATATATATCATATATCATAATCATTGATAATCATTGCATTATTAATTACATCATAAATGCCATTACATGATTCACATATATAATATATTATACTCTAGAAGTCCAAAGCCTATTTTGGGCACCACCCAAGTAAAGGAAGCTCCTTTTCGGATCACCTAAAGACCGTTTTAAAAAATAGTCTTGGACTCCCAGGGTATATATATATATATGTTTAAACGTCAATCATCTACTGACACAAATCGGTTTAATCGAATTACATGTGTTCCCTCCCACGCCTGGATCAACGTCTGCACTTCAGGTCTTAAGGCGTCGATCCCTCGTTCCACCTGCGACGATGCCCGCCGGGGGCGGGTTGCAAGCACCGGCGACTTCCAGTGAGCGAGAGCCGACCATGTCAAAGCATCTGGATTGGAATAGAGTTAGATGATGTTAGAGGGATGATGATGGATGCATTTTCATGTGGTGATAAGAAGGACATGGGTATGTATAGTTCTTCCAGTCCTATCCCAAACAGCAATCTATGGGAGTGACACTGGGACTGACATATTTACCTACAAACTGGGGTGGTGTCAGAGGTCAATGTATAGGTAAATATTCCATTCAATGGATGGTCTGATTGGTCTGGGTATGGGAGTTTGTATGTTCGACACTTCATCCATGCTACTTACGCTACTTGTACTACTCTTGTACTGTGTGGAGTGGTTGGTTTCACCGCAGCGCAAGCACACTGAGAGACTGAGCCATTCCCGGAATCCGCCATCCCTTCTGAAGTAGACTTGGATTTGCTTACTTAAGGAATACTGTAAACAAACTAAACATAAAAAAAAAAAAACAAATTGGATCCCCAACCCACAGGAATCCAAATCCAATCCCCAAGCTTGAATGTGCTTTGGAACCTGGACAAAATCCATGGTTCCAAATCAAACATCACCTGATCCGCCAAACCAGGTTCAACATCACCTGAATGTGCCTGGACTTCTCCGCCACACCGTGAGGTCTCTCGTGGTCAACAGCACTCTTTGTTCCACTTCGATCGAAAAAAAAGAGACCAGTTCACCTGTTCAAACCAATTCACCTGTTCAAACCAATTCACCTGTTCAAACCAATTCACCTGTTCAAACCAATTCACCTGTTCAAACCAATTCACCTGCTCAGACCAATTCGTCCCATGAAGAACAAACATCTTCAGACTGCAACATCTTCGTTGTCGCTCTTCGTCGTCCCGTTCCGTTCACCGGTTCCAGTTCGTTCACCGTTCTCCGGCGGTTCACCGGTTCACCGGACACCCCTAGACACCTCGGGCCATCATTAGGCACCCCAAACAGGGGGCCCAGGTATACAGCGTGTACTTTTAATAGATGATCCTTGTTCAATCCTTTTGAGTTCTTCCTTTTCGAATCGGACTGGGGCACACCTCCTTTTTGCCCCGAGATCTCGGTGCGACCCGACAAAAAGGAGGTGTGAAGTCGGTCGTCGAGTCGCAAAGAGGTTAAATGAAAAGACTCCGCTGAGTGAGTGAGTTCTGATAATGCGAACGGTTGAGTCGAATGTGTTTGAGTCGGCGCATATAGTAAAGCCTCCAGAAGACATGTTGAAACCACGAAGCAAAGGAAGCAGGATGACAAGTCTCGCTTTTCCACCAAAAGGGTGAGTCCTCCAAGTACATATTTCAGTGAACACACCTTCGTACTTGGAACCCTTCTGTTCTGGCAAGTGGCTCTTGCCACAAAAACTTGGATTTGCAACCGGAACAAGGAAAAACCATGAACCTTAACCATATTCCCCAGGATTGGGGATTCACAGGATTCACCCAGTTCGCGAAAATACTGGTCGTGACGTCACCGTGTCGACGGCGCGTGCGCCGCGCGCCTGGAGTTGTGCCACCCGTGCGCGCGGCACCAGTTGTGCTCCTTCCGTCATGGCTTGCGACACCGCCTCAGTGTGCGGTTATGGCCTCCAAAGCCTTGGACTCCCAAACTCCCGGTGTGGGGAAGCGATCCCCCCGGAGGGGGAGAAAGGGGACACTCCGACATGTTGAGGTGGAGTATAGAGGGAAACCCCCCCTGTTTTGTCGGAGTGAAGGGGGTGACATTCCGACATAGCACATCACATTTTGTTGGTTTTTCGTGGAGTTCACCCCCGGTTTTGTGGAGGGAAGGAGTCTGAACATGTCGGGGATATGCATGGCCTTTTTCCATCCACTTCCAGGTCTAGTCAGCAGAGTGTGTAATCTGTTTCATCCGAAAAGGCCTTTTTGGATTCCACCTCCAGTGAGTCAGTGAGTCAGAGTGTAAGCTTCACCCAAAAAGGGTCTAGTGAGTGAGTCTGTTCTGGTTTAGTTGGGAAAAGAATTCACCCAAAAAGGCTTTACAGGTGATCCACTGACTGGGTAGGATTCAGGTGAGCTGGCTTCGCTGAGAAAGCTTCGTGTCTTGAACCCGTTGACTCACCCAGGGTTGGGTGTCTGTTTGGAGAAAACAATAAGCTGGTAGCCGCTGGTGTACGGGTGCGTGTTTCTCTAATCTTCCCTATATATGAGAAAACAACACGCTGCATCCGTCATTGATGAGAAGCAACACGTTTATTTTGGTGTTTTTAATTCTTGAAGAAAGGGGTTGCACGGGCCTTGTTAAGAAGTGGTGTAGTAGGGTTTATGTGCAAAACAAAACAATCGATGAGGAAGAAATCGTAGCCGCAAGCTACTGGTATGTTTAACTATGTCATACTATGTCTGTTATGGGCCCCGTAGCTCCTTGGACCACCACAAGTTTTTCAGGATCCAAACGGAAGAGGTGCTTGATTGGCCCACCACCCCAGAACATGGCCTGTTTGGAACTGAAGAGAAACTTGGACAACCACAACTTTCATATGGTTTCAATTAAATTCAACCTGTCATTGAACTCGCTAACGCAGGCCCCCATGTCCATCCACGGTCTGAAGACACATGACATGCGTTCATCGTTTCATTCTCCGTTCTGAAGCCCATTCGGCCACGCTTTTGGTGCTGGTGATGTTCATATGATTTCTTGTGGATGGTGGCATACATGCAAATCTGCGGGGGAAGAGACCTGAGAAACTGGATTGGGGGTTTATACAACTGGTTCACTTCAAACGTGGCTAAAGGTTTTCGAGATTTTGTTGATCAAAGGGGTGTCCAGCATCCACTTACTTGGGGACTCTGTGATAAACATGTTTGGATGATATCAAAATCAAAACATTTGATACATACCCCTTTGGAACTACTGGTGCAAACCTGTCCAATCGATCCAACAACTGCCAACTACATATATCGACTACTTCCGACTACTATCTCAAAGGATATGTTCACCCTCCAAGCTTTCCGAAGTCATCTTCCAACAGTAACAGGTTCCAGGGTATGTGGATGATTGCGGGGTTCATTGCGCATAGAAGCGCGCCTCGCAAACGTCGTAGTCGCAAGAAATCTTGCTTCCAGCCTGCCAGCTCTGGGAGGAGGGCAAATTTGTCTGAAAAAGCAACTCAACAAAACATCATGCTATAGACTCTAGACGTTTTTTGGTCCAAGCATGGGTCATATGGGTGTATTAAAATAGGGAGACCTCCCAGTTCGACCCACTTGTCTAGTGGAAACTAGACCAGTCTACCCATCGGTTCTGGGGGAGACCCATATTGAAATACACACCCAGTTCGGGGTCTCCATGCTGAAACTGACATTCAACCCAAAGGTGCTGAGTTTCAAACCAAGCACCATCCAATCATGTCTGGCTGAGGTAAGAGGTGAAAGAACGCATGGCGCAGTCTGGAGGTGTCTGGAGGGCTTCCTTCGGAAAAACAAATTGAATGTATTTGATGGATTATTTTTCCTCAAAACTCCCATGGGATAGGAAACACCCATTGACCCCTTGCAACAACCACCCCATGGAGTGTTTGGATTTTTTTCAGAAAGCCCCTGCGGCTATCCGATCTATACGTGAATTACAGTCACAGGTATTAAATTTAATGTATTTTAGTGGATAAACCTTCCAGACCAGCATCCTCACTGTCACCCCCTGCCACGCTTCTTGAGTCTCCCAAAGGCCCGGGTCACTACAGTCGCAGGGGCTCCAAACCGCCCCGCGGTACCGCGGTCCACGTCGTGACCTCTGAGGGCTCAAAGGGCAACTGCTTCGCGCTCGAGCTCCCGGTCAACGTCCTGAATGGGGTTTTGCTTGTGAATGGGTTCTCCTGGGTCAACCCTACCGCGCAAGATCAGGAGGTCGCCCCTGAAGACTAACACGAAAAACATCTGAAAAGCACTGATTTGTAAAGGAAAACGGTCTTCCAAAAGGCCCTGGTCCATGCCTCTATGTTCAGTGGTGGTTTGCCGCATGGATCCCCATTGGAGAAAGGTCTTCTGTTCAACGAGGGTCAATGTGCCCAGGCCGGCATTGACCCTCTAAAAGGGTGGGTGGTTGGCAGTTCGGGAACTCCCTGTAGCTCCGAAAGTGTCCTGTTGAAAGGGGGCCTGTGGATACCTCCGGAGGTATCACTCAGTCAGTTGTGAGTCAAAACCTGGAGATATCCCTGCCCAACCCAGCGTGTGTTGTCTGTTGCCAGACAAGGTGTGTGTCTGTGTCATTGCGCGTTGTTTGAGTCTTTGATTGTCGCTTGTTGTTTGTTGTCGCGTTTGTCAATAGATTGGCCAGGTACTGGTACAGCAGCAAGGGTCATGGATAGGGTGGGTTGTCTACTCTAAAGCCCAGCGGGCCCCCAATCCTCTTAATTAGGTGGGTAACCTACAGCATGAGGTCGTTCACCTTCCCATCTGCAATGTTTCTCGGCCTTCCTGTATCGGCTCACTCTATGACTAAACCACCACAGCACCAGCACCAGCACCAGCACCAGCACCAGCACTGCACCACCACTGCCATCCCCAACAACTCCAACACCAACACCACCACCAAGATCACCACGACCACGACCACGACCACCACCAACAACAACAACAAAAACACAAGCAGCAGCAGCAGCAGCAGCAGCAACAACAACAACAACAACTATTACCACCACCACCACCACCACCACCACCACTACGACTACTACTATGACTACTACTATGACTACTGCTGCTGCTGCCGCTACTACTAAACTACAACCTACAACTTACATCTACTTACTACTACTACTACTACTACTACTACGACTACTACTACTACTACGACTACTACTACTACTAATAATAATAATAATACTCCTACTCCTACTCCAATTTCAGATCCGTCTGCATGTTTCGCCTCACCCCCGACAAGCCGCTTCCCCGCACCCCCTGTGTCACTGACCAGGTCACATCAAAGCTGCCAGCGCTGCAATGCACGCGTTGATCATGGCCGAGATGAGCCGCACCGGCACCTGGAGGGACTGGAGGGGACGAGGGGACTCATCAACCCCAAACACTCCGTTTTGTGTTATATGTCTACATTCACCTCCCCCAAAACCACCCCTTTGTGGGTTAATGTCAAACATGGGGTGTCTGGGATTGGGGTCTGTTGATGATTACTCCCAACTCTGGAACTTTGATGCATCAACCTACAAGAAGTTCACCTTCCTTCCCGGTCCGGAATGGACCGCGGCCCGTGGAGCGGAAGATGGGGCGAAGGGTCGGTCTCATATCGAAAACTGCTTCTTTCTTGCCCTCATCCCAAGACCAGGGGACTCTTGGGTGGATCAAAACCCAAAGAAACCCACGGCCGAGACTCGGAGCGGAGACGGAGCGCCGGAGCGGAGACGGCCTCGTTGGAGGCGCCGCTCCGGAAGGCGATGGCTTCCTGGGGGGTCTCGTCTAGTCCCAAGGGATCCACAGGTCGTGTCTGGGAGCGCCGGCTTTCTCGGAGAAGGTCGTGAACACCAACACCGTCATGTGGGAGCGCCGGGAGGGCGATCTGCGATGATCTGGGATGAACTTCTTTCGGGGAAACTGAATCAACATTAGGGCCGGTGAACATCAATGATCTCCGACTCAGTAGAATCCCTGGGATCTCAACATTTCTCTTTTTATATAATTAATATGTGTTCGTCAAAAACAACAATGGCGTTTACGGAGTTTCGATGAATTTAGACTGCCGACACCGGGTCAAGCTTTCTTTCAATGGTCTTTAAAGGCTAGGAGGAATGCATCCAATCACGTGAGGTGGCTCCGAAAGGTTGGAGTTGGCGGGTAGACGATTCCAGGTGTAGGAGAAGGATCAAGGTGTGGTTCAAGCACTCAGGATTGGTCAAGCACGAGAACGGCGAGATGTGATGATGGGTGCGCTTAGAACTCAACCATGAACACTCCCACGCCACGCCACCTCCTTTCCCACGCCACTCCACGCCCACCAAACTATCTCTGTGCTAAAAGATTTGCTGCTGGGGTACCTGATGGATGGCATAGAGGAAGAGGTGAACCAAAGCCTGCGTCTTGGCTTCTGGTGTGCTGCAGAGCAGGTCACTGATGGACACCCTAGTTTTCGATCCACCATTGGTTCTTACATGTTTTCACTGAACAAACATGAACAAACGATTTCCGGCCGAAGTTGATAAAGTAAAATGCATGGATGGTCCCATTAGAAAGGAACAAAAAAACAACATGAGGAAATATGAGCAACAAAATCATTTGCATGGACGGTCTGCATATGACTGGGTATGGCTTTATTTAGGATCCACGTTTGGTGAGTCTGAGAGCTTCGACTCAATCGAGTTCCCCAGTCCGCTCCAGCTGCCGTTGATAGGAACCTTGACCAAAGAAGAAGTGCTCCAAAAAGAGGACCCACAAGGCCACAAACGGTGGTTCATGGACAAATTTTAACTTCTAATGATTCTAATGGGCTGTTTTAGGGGAGCACTGGTATATTGGATATAATATGATGGGTAAACAAGCATGCTCCACGAGCTGGGAGCTGCTGACGATCTCCACGTCCAGCCGACCCCATCCAGGTCCAAAGACCTTCTTTTCAGATGGAGGTCGAAGTACTTCCTCTTGAAATGCTCGAACTGCGAAGAAAAGGACAGACTCAGTTTCCCTAGGTGAACCGTAGGGTGTCCTTAATTCCTTAGGTTTTTAAGATGCTTTGAAGTGATCCACCTACTTCCTGGGGCAGTTTGGAGTTTGGGCCCTCGGTCCGAGAGCGGCAAGCCCAAGAAACCCTCCGCCTTGATCATGATGGGCGGGATCACCTCTTCCACCACGGTGGCTCGGCCCTCCTGGCACCCCAAACGACGTTACCCGATCGCTCAATCGATGGAAGCTGAGCGCGGTTTCCGGGGCGGTCTTGGGAGGAGATGTTGGGGGATTTGGGGGTGAAAGTGATCTGGTGAAGCTCTGCTCTTTAAATGACTTGTGGGTGAGTTTGCTTGGTTGACATTTCTTAAAGAGCTTGAACTGGATGGATGGCGATAAAACCACTTGGTGACTTTGGTGACTTTGGTGACTGCCTGTTCGTTCCTGGAGAAGAATGCTGGCTGTTGTCCAAAAACACGGTATGTCTCGGGTCCAAGATGTCTATCCCATTCCCTCATGAACGACAGTCTAATTGCTTGAATCATAGATCCACATTTGACTGAACAATCAAGACTCAAGACCCAAACGTTCTTTTCAACACATTCACCACCATTCACCAACCGCCTTCACCACCATTCACCAACCTCAAGGAAGCGACCAGTGTCTGGGAAAATCCCGCAGTTGCTTCCCGGACGTCTGAGGGATGCACCGGTTCTCCCTGCCCCTCTTCTCGAGGGGGATGTCGGGCGGATGAATCACCCGATGACCGATCCATGGAAGGAACAAATGGATGGATAAGCCAGGGATGAATCCAGTTTGAGCATTCCGAAGCCTGATAGAAGCACATCCAAAGTGATGAAAATCGAAGACATCTATAGAGACTTGGATTTGCTGTCCAGGAACCGGAACCGGGAAGAGGCCAGTTGACAACTGGAAGACAACAAACAGATTGGAAAACGACACGTCTCCACCCGATCCACAAAACCTTGTACCACCAAAAATAGAATGAAACCCCGCCCGTTCCTTGTTGGCTGGCCACGTGTCTGGACCACCACGTTTTAAAAACGGAGAGGGCGCCCCCGAGACGGGCTCTCGGCTGCTCCCCTCTCCTCTGACAATGCATTGCGTGCCCCCTTCTTCTTGGGCTCAAAGAGTTGGATGGCTTGGATGGCTCCTAGAGCAGCCATGAGGCGGGAAGTGGGAGCGTTTGAAACGCTACTGACTCCCGAGCCGTTGCTTTTTTCTGGGGAAAAAACAACATTATATATATAACATATATAACGTTTGTCCAATTTGTTCATCTTGAATGGGAAAACCGGTGATCCACTGACTGGGTAGGTGAAAGGAGCTTTTAGGGACCCCCAGTGCGTCTCATCTGCCTTCCACGTAGGATCTGTTGAGACCTTCTTCGATCGATTTGAGGTCCGCAGAGGGAGGTTGTGGGTCCACGCTCTGCGGCATCAGTTGCAGTTCATGTCTCAGATCTGGTGTTCATCACTTTGGGAACCACATATTGACAATTACAATTGGTAGCCTAGTTGAATAGGGCTGACTTTCGGACCCAGACTTTGGACCGTTTTTTTTGACTGGACAACCCAAGAACAATACCGCTGAGAATGGTGTTTGACAATCTCTTAGGCTACTTAACTTAGGGGGGTTGTATGTTTCAAGTGAAAAATGCTTTGGACCTAAAATAACTTGTCCAGTCAGCTTGTCAAGTTTGGGGGGAAACACCACGAGTCAACGTGTCAATTGACTCAAATCTCGGTGACAAAAGATCGCTGAGACAGATTGAGACAGCTAGCCGCTCAAGACATGGTCATTCTAGGGCGTGCTGATGCGGCAAAAACATACAAATGTTAAAATCGGATTGTCTGAGCTCAGTAATCAAGTTCATCATCTCCCCATCAGGTCCAGGTACGTCCTTTTTCTGGTCTTGGATGTGAGCACATACTTTCTCTTCCAATGCAGGGGCGAAGCATGGCCAACTAGTCCGAGTGCTCCTGGATCGGGGATGTCAAACATGTCACACATGCTTAGCCACACTTCTCCCAGCCACGCCGCTTCGACTCGAACTCCCCACACTTCTCCCTGCGCCTCCACCCTCCTCCGTGGTCGCCACCGCGCTGTTCTCCGCGGTTCCCGCGGTTCGCGGCTCGTTCTCGGCGGATTTTGCCTAAGAGGGATCAGAAATGAAGCAAAACATGCCCAAACAACCACACACCAGGAGTCACATGGAGTTGGGTGGTGTTTCGTCCCATCCAGGGGCTGTGGATGTGACAGGGGCACCCCTATCATTGTGACTCCTGGCAGTTCTGTACACTGTACACGTCCGCAATGGGAAGATGTGAAGTTGATGTGAATCGATGGCCACCTGGGTATACTCACCTCGTAAGTTGTGTGAGGATGTCATCTGTGTCACCATTGAAAATACCTCCTCAGGTTACAAGACTTGGAGTTTCAAGTACAGTGGTTGCAGAGTAGATGGCACATGATGGCACAACCCGCTACATGTCTGTTTGATGGGATCCATACATAAACATATACGAACAACTTTTTGGTCTTGTGATGTCTTGTGCCATCTACTCTTTTCAACCACTGTAGACTGTACCTTTTCTTTTCACTTCTGCCGAGCCAGGGTGGCACCATGTGGCTGGCAGTTCAAGACCCCAGATACACATGTAGACTGGGGATGAATCACAGCCTCCCCAAAAAACCGATTCTTTCTTATCTCTGAGAGGCCTGGGGAATTGAATTCAAAGGGACTCAAAAACCGAAAAACTAGCCTCTGCGTCACCCACAATGGTATATGTTATTACTTCTACATGCCACAGACGTAAAATACTTTAAGTTGGACTGAGCCAGCCAAAAATCGCGGTACCACGACTTCGGAGCCTCACAATCCGAGCAGGATGAAACAACGGATTGAGGCACAACTATATAGAACGAAGCGGGAAATACAGAAAAAAGCCAGGTGGTTGTGTTCCGTTTCAGAAATGTAGAACTGGGACTGGGACCTTAAGCTATAGCAGCAGTGCCTCGAAAAATCCCTTGCTCAAATCTCAGTGGCTGACCAATAAGAAGAGCGAACACAAGCGAATTGAACATCGATCTTTTTGCAGAAGGCGTCCTTTCCCACGGAAACACGTGTTGCTTCCCCGGCCCGTTTTCAAACACTGCCACGTCCTTTCCCACGGAAACACCGTGACAGCGTGCCTTGTCTTGCAAGGCCAGGGCATCTGGACTGGCACGCTTCTTATGGTCCTGCCAGGGCAAGTAGAGCTCCCTCTATCTCAGGTCATATGTGAGAAAGCTGAGATAATGGTTTTTTGCTTTTTGCTTTGTGTACCATAACGAAAACCGCGTTTCCTCATTGCTGGAACTTGCGGCTTATATGGTGTCAAACTGGTGGTTGTTTCTCTTGAACAACAGCCATTCCCCATCATTCCCCCTAAAAAGCACTTCTGTGAATGGTTTCTCAATTGAAGAATTCCCGGTCACAAGAACGAGGACAAACAACCTCCCTACCCGAAGGCAAACACTTCGATCCTCCGACGACCCGAAGACATCCGGACACAAAGGACCGAACGCGAACGTCAACGGTACACGCGAGGACTGCCGATTTTCCCTCCTATGTTTGGCTGGGTGGGTGGAATCCCAAGTGTCAGCCTTCCTCGTTAGCCTGCGTTCCGCGGTGCCTAATGCCCTCCTTATAACCAAACCCAGGTCAGCAACAGGCCAAAACGAAGCGCTCTCCTGCGTGAGGCAACGCATCTCATTGTCAAAGATGCTCTGAACTAGTGCAGCCATCAAATTTGCAAAGTCCGCGAAGACCAAGAGCTGCGCAGGAAAGACGGTCAAATGAGACGGAACTCAGTGACCTAAAGGAACTGTACAGGTCCAGTCTGACCCAGTAAAACCTGGTCCCTTGCCTCATAATTGAGTATTGTACGTTCTTGTATGAATGATCAACTCCAGTAAAATGATATCTTTGACCTGTAGGGCGAAGAAGAAACCTGCCAAGGAATCTGAGCAACTCATACCATGATGGTCTACCGTATGCTCCCATGATTTTTGTTGCCCTGCGACATCCGTCCGGCATCTTGAAGAAATCATCTACGAGTATCTATACATGTGTTTGAAGTCAAATCCAGAGAATACTCAGGCTCTCACCCAAACCAAGAGCGTCCGCCCTCAAACCGAGTCAGTCGCCTCATCATCCCAGAAAAGAAGCTCAAAAATAACACACGTCCCACGGTTGGCCTCATCGGCCGGCAGGGGCCGTTGGCTGGCCACCTGCAGCTTTCGCAAGATCGGCCGAACCTGGGCCGCACCGGGAGAAAAGGCCGGTCGGAGGTGGGGTCGGAGCGTGAAGCGGCCGGTTGAAAGAGGTGGAAGGAGATGGGAAGGAGTAGAAAAGCGCATTGAAAATAAAAACAACATCCAATTCCGAGCATTGACATTATATGTGTTTCAATATATTACGATAATATATTATGATATATTATGATTTCTTGGGAGTAGTCTTAATATGTCTTAATAGTTATTTCTTAAGATGAGCGGTGGAGATCTCGAGGGGAAGTGGAGTCCGACTCGAGTGCCGAGTCCGAAAAAGCTTTTTTTCATCACATGTAGATCACGTGGAGCCCAAAGACCCTGTCACTGTAATCAACCGCTCGGAAGGGCAAGGAATTAAGCCTTGCATGTCTCAGCATAAGCATTTACATGGCGAGACCTTTGATAGGGAATAAATGCATATTTGGGTATCGGTGTGGTTGGTGATCCAAAATAGAGGTCACTCAGGCTCTATAGACTGACTCATGTATAGACTCTACAGAATTCCAGCCCCATGGATGGTCTGAAGTGCGTTGTCCTGTCGGTCGTTTGGCAAGATTTCAATCTGGGACCTCCCGGCCACGAAGCGGCAGGCATAGGTGCCTGGAAGAAGCACAGGGCAGAAGTTGGGGTCTGGGTAGAGTATACAATGTTGGATATACCTGAGTGACCTCTATTTTGAATCGCTCACCACCCAAAATATGGTCTTGCTTCCTATCAAAACAGGGGTTATGTTTGGGTTCTAGGTATTTATTATATGTACGTAGTGACGTAATGGACCAGAAGACATCAAGATAGGTTTTTGCCAACGTATTAGAACAACAATGAACAACGTGCACATACTGTAGGCAAAATTGCAAAATGCTGTAAACATTCTAGGATTAAATTGTCGTCGAAAGTACCATGATGCTGGCATCAAAGCGTGTGTGTATACATATAGCTTGCGGACTTGCTCCGCACTGCGGCACACTGCATACACTGTGCCACCAGTAGCAGCATTGGCTGATCTTGCACAGCCTGGACCTGGACAGTCGCTGACATCTTCTTCATGAGCGCAAAGAGGAAACCAATAGAGACTGAGCGTCTTCCATGGTCAATCAGCGTTCCTCAGCATCTGGTGCCATCGACATGTCGATTAGTCACACCTTTGCGTCACACGTTGCAGATTAGTCAAGTCTTGAGGATAAGACTAGAGCAAGGTCTTGCATGCCAAATACGCACGCAGGCCAGTAAGATGAGATGTGCGCGAAGCTCCAAATACACTACAGTTCCACTTCCAGCTTTGAGTGCCAGCAACATCGAAGTCTTCCAATTTTAACCTCAGTGGGTTGAGCTGCATCTCTCAGCAAACTCTTGAAGACGATTCGCTGCTTTCTCAGCAAGCATTTCGCTGGTCTCTCAGCAAGCAGTCGTCTGACCACCTCGATCGCACCGTGGCGAGCATTCGGACTGCTGCAGCCAGCAAACCTTCCACACCGCTGCAGCCAATGGCGCTGGAGATCATCCAGCACTGTTGCAACTGAGTCCAGCAACTGGTCCAGCATTTCTGCCAGCTCTCCAAGGCAGGCTGGACGCCTGCCTAACACCAACGACCCATGGAACATGATTGATGGAACATGACAACCACATCTATGGACTCCAAATGGACTGTTTCTACCAAAAACAAACAGATTCAAACAGTATTCCTGCCTACACAAACTAGCCAACAGCCTTCAAAAAGACCTGTTGGAGGCCCGGTTTCCTTTGGGAATTCCGGAGATTCTGTCACCCAGAAGGCTTGAGGGGCCTTCCAACTCTGTCATGTAGACTCTTGATATTTCAACCCGCCGGGCCTGGGGCCTGAGGTTTTTCCATCCATGTGTCTTTTGTTTGTTTTCATCAAAATTCCACCTTAGGTCTGCCAGTTGCCCAAAACGTCTTCAACTCCCCACTTCCCCACGAAGGCATGGCAGGGCATATTTGGGCCATCGCTCGCTCGAAAGCTCCGGCACCTGCCCCGGAGGAGACCCCGCCTACGAGACTCAGAGTCCAAATGCGCTCGCGGTCCAAGGTGGCCAATTCGCGTTCATGGCGCTCTTGTTCTCGCTGATTCTGATGCGAGCCCTGATTCAAGATCGGCGCTGTGGAAGCTGTCCAGTTTGGGAAGGTCGGTTTGGTACGATGTTACGATATTGTACCAAATACGTCCCAAAACCAATATATAAGGCCATCTATGGCTGCTGTGGATAAGCCCAGGCGCGGGTGGAGGGGTGAAGAGAAAAGACGAGTTGTGGTCTTCAAAACGTGTCCAATCCCTCCAAAGTGCATTGAACTAATTGGGCCAATTCGTTGGGCTTGAGGATCCATATTTCTGTATATATATATATATATGTTCTACTGATCTAGTGGATTTGCTTGGGCTTGAGGACTCCGTTTCGTTTCACCATTGTCCACCATGTTTCCGTCCCATGGTGGTTCTTCAGGACCGGTTCCACCGTTCGAACTCCGTGACTTCAACAAAGCCTGAAGACGATCCGGAGACGACGTCGTCATGGCTCTACAAAAGATCAGCACAACGCCACCATCTGGTGTACATGCAAATCGATTTATCATATATTTTTGTCCTGGAATACGTAGGACTTCTACCATCTTCTACTTTACCTCTTAATATCTCTTAATTGGAAGCCTTCAGAAGCATTGGCTCTTAATGACCTTGATCTCATCAAGTCGAACATCCTGGGAAAGGACCGGTCGGGCTCCAAGTTGAACCACCCATCCCCATCTGACTTGTTGGGTGCAATGCTGCCAATGCTCCAACCACCCGTAACTGGGTCCCCATTCCCACCAGTTCAGAAGACACAACGAAACTTACGACCCGGCCAACCGTGACAGACCGCCGATCGCGAGTCCGACCGTCCGACGCTGGGCACCTCGACGTCATCCGGGCTCTGACACAGCGGGAGATTCGTGATCGCCGCATCACAAATCCTGCTGAGCGAGAGCGATTTCACCGCCACGAGTCCCTGGGGGGGGGGGGCCGAGGAGCGAAGGAGGTCGACCCAAACGCGGTTTTAACGCCAAACATCCCCGGAAGACCCAAAAAATCAAAGCAAAACGCGCGTGATTTTTTGTGGGGCAAAACGAACCACGATTTCGTGGGGGGATATCATGAGACCTGGGCAGTTCGCATGTCACAAAAATGTCCATCATTTATCATCACAATGAGCCAATGAATGCACGGGCAAGCATGCCAAAATGATACAAAAGTTGTTGCTATCCGTGGAGATAGGTTCTGACTTCCAATATCCAATATAATCTATCATGAACCTCGCCGAGATATGAAGCTCATCAAGATTGAGAAATCCAACATGAGCAATGAGCGGTGTCAAAAACCACCCGGAACTTTTATTAAGCTTACAAGAACCTTTCGCCAGTCCCTTCGCAACGCTTTCGCGGCTGCCAGACAAAGCCACGATTCCTCAGACTGCCACATCTCTGTCAGCTCCAGCTTCGAGCATTAACAGACGCACAACTTCCAAGATGCCTTTCGAAGCCACCCTTGAACAATTTTCGCTTGCTGGTTCTTTGTCAGCGCAGCTTCGAGCAACAGACGCACAACTGCCAAGCGGCCTTTCCAAGCCGCAAACACAAAGCCGTTGAACCATCTTCTCTTGCTGTTTCTTTGTCAGCTCCAGCTTCCAGCAACAGGCGCACAACTTCCAAGTGGCCTTCCGCAGCCGCAAAATACAAAGCCGCTGAGCCATCTTCTCTTGCTGCATCTTTGTCAGCTCCAGCTTCCAGCAACATCCGCACAACTTCCAAGCGGCCTCTTGAAGCCGCAACATGCAAAGCCCTTGAACCATCTTTTCTTACTTTTTCTGAAGCAGCTGCTCAAGTTTGCCTACATCATTCTCTCCACATGTTCGAAGCAATTCTTCCTCTACTGCCTCATCAGGAGCACAAAAGTCAAGGATCACCAACTGCACCCTTGGCGGTGGCCTCACTTGCATGTCATCCCGCAACTCGCCCATGACTCCGAAACCGCGAATATCCAATTCGTTCTGCCAGGAACTGCTTGAGGTCCCTAATCGTTTGTCCTTGTTCCACCATGACTTGGAGCTCGGACCTGGGCGACCATCTCGCCAGAGAAAGCTGTTGCTTCCATGTGGTCGCACGGCCAAGCAATCAGGCTGCCGTGAGGGTATCTAAGCTGCACAAAGCGAATGAAGCGGTGCCCCGTATGGGGGGGCTAAAAATAGTAGCATGTATAACTGTATAACTGTTTCTTGTGTTGTCCCTAACATTTGTGGCGGATGAACAGCTGAGTTCTTGCGTTAACTGGTCAACTCAAATGACCATTGCTATTTCGGAAGTCACATGTCTTTTACGCAGCTCAGCTTCACAATTCATTATATTCATTGATTGGGCAAGCCGAAGCGAACCAGCGGACCAGCTCAGCTGAACCGACGGCCCAGCTCAGCCAGACGGCTCAGACCGATGAGTGCAAAATTAAGACCGTCTCACCAAGTGAGGAAACTCTCCAACCTGGAAACCGGCCAACGAGGCCGTGGTTGGAATGGAAAACCTGAAATGCCGTGGTTGGAATCCAGTTTGGAGTTGTAAAGACCATGTTTATATATATTATACCATGGACAACCAGTCTCAACCAGAAACAAATGGATGTTCCCACTATGTAAGTAAAGGATCTCAAGAAAGCCTTGGGTTCCAACCATGTGTTTCTGGTTGGGACTGGGGAAACCGAGGAAGTCATTTCACACATTCTCTTTGTGCGTCGAACACCGGAATCATGGCTCTGAAGATCCGTGAGGACCGTGAAGCATGTTCTCTTGCCATAGCCTCACCATGCCTCACCCGAAACTCTTGACAATTCGGAGCACCAAAGTATACAAAGCCGCGTGGTAATAAATAGAAAAGACTCTCTCTGAACCCCGCTGGCCTCTGGAAGGTTACGTGGTTGATCGTGATTGTAAGGAGTCAACTGACCCAACCATGCGGCATACGCATTGCTGAATGAACGTGCCCCAACAAGTCTAGTGGCCCGTTCTAAATTAAACTACCTTCGAATGCTGGTTTGTCAAGATAAAACTTTCCCACTCAGTTCCAGTTATTTTTCCCCTGAATCAACACTTGTGATGGTGTTGCCAAACTTCCGGATCCCCCTGTGTCCGACAGAAACCGGTACCAACTGTAGCCCAAACAGAAACCCAACCACATGGATCCACATGGGTATAAAGAGCTTCTTCTACCAATCTACCCTACCTCAAACCACTGAGAATGACCAACTCATTCGAGCTGCAACAGCCTTGCCTTACCAACATGGCCTATCAATTGATGCCTAGCTTAGTGTATTTAGCAAGCCTCCCAAGCAATTTGCCTCTCAACTTGAGATGTTCTCCTCTTTCACCTCACCCCCCACACCGGTCTCGAGTCTCGTCCCCCCTCCAAGTCGGTCCACCGGACCCTGTCACGGTGTCACCGACATCCTGAGGAACTTCTTGGGCAACAGGGCGCAGGTGATGTCTGGGTCCTCCGACTCCTGCAGCTTTTGGCCTCGACGAGTGAATGGCGTTTCGTAGCGCGCGGCGTGAACGCGTGAACGCGGGTCGTAGCGCGTGAACGCGCGGTGCAGGTGGAGACAGCAAAGAGGTGCAACGAGGTTTTGGAACACCACAAGAAGCGTCTGGTTTGACAGACCGAAGACGGAAGCTGAGCGTTGTTGAGGCTAAGAAGCGCATTCCATAACCAAAAACACTGAACATTCTGAATACATATAGTGGATTGAGAGTAGATGGGACAGACCCCAAGAGGTGGTTTATATGGATTCCCATCTGTCTAGGACATCTTGGGGTCTGTGCCATCTACTCTGAAACCACTGTAATGGATTTTCCAGCATTGGGAGACTTCAGAAGGTATCAATTGGATGCGGTCTGTTGCAGATCTGCAAGTCCATCTGTTGCAGATCTGCAAGTCCATCTGTTGCAGATCTGCTGTATGTTTTGTGGCATGTACAGCACGGTCAGATCGTCACACCCGTTAAAACTTTCTGAGGATCATGTGATGTCTTCGACACTTTTATGTAGCCTTGGACCCCTGGAAAGTACCTTCTGAGAAGGCGGCAGTGCATCCCTATGGGGCTTATAAAGTGCTACTTGAAAGGCTTTCAGGTGTGGAAATGGGCTCGCAAAAGGTGGTAGGGGCGGTGTAGGACATGATAGGAAGATAGGATGGCTTTCAGGTAATATGACTATAGGATATGATATGCCTTATCTATACGATAATCTATATGATATGAAGACACTACCCTGGATTTTCATCCTGATTACGTACGTGGCATGGCCCCAATTGCATATGACCGTTGTTCTGTACAAACACGTGGTTGTCCACCTTCCGTGATGATTTCGAGTGTAAGCCCACCATTCAGAACGTGCGGGGCATGGCACCCCATTCCCTTAAAGCCAGGCCAGCCCAGGTGCACCACTTTTTTGTCAGGTCTATAGAGGGTCGCTCCAGATAGGAGTCGGCTCTCAGTCGCTACACGTCCTCGTCCTCCGTGCCGTGTCTGGTCCGTCCCAGCCTACCGTCTGAAGGGCCGAGACCATGCTGATGATCCTCGAGTCATGCGGCGTTCGGCGACCGCGCGGGAGAAGCTGCGTTCGGACCCTTCGGCTTCGCCCTTCGCCCTTCGGTTCGTGCCGTGCGAAGTGGGCTTGGTCGGCCACGAAGTCGACCGAACCCCCCCAAAAAAATACCCAGATGGAAGCTGGAATCTGGTCTTCAAACTGGTTGAATGGTCGATGTTGTCCTGCAATCCTCTTGCGTGAGAGAAGTAAGCCACGAGAAGCTCGGAGCTCTCTGTCCACATTGCTGATTCCAGTGGTGGGGGTTCACCGAATGTCCATGTCCATGACCAGGACCAAGAGTACACTCCATTAAATATTTATATATTGAAGTGGAAAACCGCCTGTTTGTATCCAAGGGGCCATGCCATCCACTTCCGTCAGTGTATCCTTTTCTGGTACAGGATCTCTAAAACATGATAAACTCATCTAGCTTCTGGCTACCGCAGCCACTATTCCAGAGTTCAAACGCCATGTATAGTAAAGGCTGGCTGGAATGTGTTCATGTCACGACTGCCCATGTTCAAGGCCTGCAATTAACATCAACTAGCTAGCACATGTTTCAACCGCCGTTCAGTCTGAATTCCACTCCTTCCTTTCAGAAGACCATCTAAATCTATAGTACAGGGCTGTCCCCGGACCAAAGCCGTTGCTCTTGTGGCAGTGACAACCTTTTTTGAAACCCACCCACCCAGCGGTTTCACCCGAAGAACCCGAAGAACCCGTCCTGGAGAGCACCGAGTGCCGCGTCAAACGGCTCGAGAACACTTCCAAAATGTACCTGCGCAACTGCCCGATGCACCGAACGGAAGGTCCTGAGAGAGAGTACGGCCTAGTTGGACCGGTCTGGGTGCGAATCCCAGGAATGTTGAGGACAGAGACATGTTTTGGGTAGTCATCTAGTTCAGGAAAACCCCATATAATATATCCTATTATATAACATATAAGACCTTCCAACCAGGTGGTGTTTGGACCCTACAGTAGTACGGTTTCTGGGCACCTCTTGTCACAGTTTGTCACCAGGAAACACCTCTTAGAAATCCATCCGGGTTCTTCAACCGTTCGCGACGGGTCGTCCCTCGCTGGGTTTCGGTTGATGAACGCCAGTGGGCAGCACCGGCAGCACCACATCGACAGATGCAACGGCGCTGTGGTCAGGTGCCGATGATGGGCTTCTATCATCGACAAGACCCGTTTGGGCTCCAGTCCCACATCCGAAAAAGGAGGTGGTTGGGGTGGGTGGTTTTGGGAGGCAAAGCATGCTCTAACATGCTCTAACTGCCGAGGATGCGGGCCAGGAGCCGTAGAAACCGTAGAAACCACTGCGTTCACCCGCAAAAAAACGATGGCGATGGACTTTGTGTCCAATGAAGAACCCGTCCAGCAATTTTGAGGCTACATGTGTGCAGCTTAGTGCAACTAAAGTTCCTCATGCACTCGCCAAGCAGGGGTCGTTCAACGGAGCATGGCCGGACGGCCGTAGGGTACCGGCAACTGCCCGATGTCTGGTTTCCCCCCATCTTGCTAGAAGATGTCTGGACTCTTTGGAACTGGTGAAACTCTTTGGAACTGGAGATTTGGAGGCTTGAAATATCATCGAAGCTGAGAGATTGAAACTTCAATCTGTGGCTGGTGCTCACTTCACATGGAGGCATAGATGTCCTTCTACTATTGGTTGATCGATTGATTAATAGAGAGGATACCTGGCAGGTACCGTGTACAACCAAGAGGTACCTGTCATCAGTCATCGAGGCCATGACATGGAGGTGGAGCAGGGTCAACCTTCCTGGGGAGGTCGACCCGGGGCTCCAGGGAGGTCGACCTTCACATGGCAGTTTTGTTCAGAACAAATATCGAAACTGCGCAGCTCCTATAGTCATGGCCTGGTACATCTCTAAATGACATCGGATGGTTGTAATGCCCACTGGTCATCATCCATCCCGGGGGTGCTTTGCTACTATCGTATATTAAATACAAAGAATAATTAATAGTTATAGTCCAGGAGTCACAACGGGGTGCCTATTGGAGGATAGGGGTGTCCATTATCCACTCACTGGATGGGACTAAGACCCACCCCGACATGTGACCGCTGGGTGTCATGTCTTTTGTCTCGTCATGTTCACCGAAACCGAGACGTGCCCGGCTGCCGCCCGCCCGGCTGCCCCCCGCGCCTGCGTCCGCCGGGCGCTTTGGGCACCTCCAGCAACATGTAAGCGCACCGGAGCACAGCCGCCACGTTCATAGAGCCTCATGGTGCACGGCTACTGTAGCAGCTTCTCCAAGAAAAGCGCTTGTCTTTAGCTTCTTTTGAGGCATGAGGCGTTAAGCACACCTGGTGTAGGGTGTAAAAACCGTGGAAACACACACATGACACATACACACACACAAATGTACTATGTACTAGAAGATCGTTACTTGAGGTGAGCTGGTGTTGCTTTCTGTCTTTCTGTGGCATGCACCAATCGTTTTGGATGAACACAAGCAGTCTTGGGGCAACAAGCTGACGCAACACATCGCCGTGGAAGGAACGTGTTTCTCGGCAATGTGGCGGGTGCATACACCGAGAACTTGGTGCCTTGAGCGGTCCCAAATAGATAGTGGCACGATTAAAAAGAATACATGTTTAAGTTCATGAGTGGGGATCGACTCTTCGTAAGGACACTTCCTATAGCTGAATCTGTTCGAATCTCAGTCGCTGACATTTGTGGCACCCGGATTGAAACAAGAACTCACGAATCTGAAAGCATGTGGGATCCAACTTGGGTTTCCATGTGGGATCGTGACTACAAGGTAGGCCGTGGGCCGTTGCAAAAAAAGGATGGCATGACATATGCACCCAAGACAAATCGTCCCAAAAAACTGTTGCAAGTTGAAGCCCTGACAATTTCTTGAGCTGCAGCCACCTCTTCAATTTTAAGAAGGGAGACACCAGCCTTCCAAGACCTGTCAGTCAATCAATAATGGTAAACCCATGTAAGCCCAAAAGGATAGAAGTTGCCTAGGATTAAGAAAAACACATGGTTGACCGACCTGGTTTCGTAGCATTTCGTAATGTACCATCCCGAGTAGAACGAAACTTCGGGATTCAGGCTCGTCAGGTCTGCGAGCGACTGGCTTTGGGCGCCCTCCGACTCACGGCCCCCTCCGACTCTCCAAGTTGCCCATCTGCCACAGCTTTCGCAACGAGGCCTGAGGCGTTTGGACGAGGCGGTCGAGGAAATGAGTGGAACAACAAGAGCCCCTAGGAGCTGGGCTGCCTAAGTGGGAGACTATGAATAACAGTTACTTTAAATATACAGTACTTATGTCTGATTAATTGGTGTTTTGCTGATTAGGTTGATCTTTTTGGGGGGGTCCACCGTGATTCTCCCAAATTTTTGGTATGTAGTATGCAAAGGCTTCCACCACACATCCGAAGCCAAAAGCCCTGGTCCCTTTGATTGGGTCGGGCAAAAGCTCACTTGAACATCATGATCATCATGCACCGTTTGGCAAAGAATGCTAGAAAATGATGAACCCTGGCCGTCAATCCTATAGATACCATGTGTTTTGGTTGTCGTCGTTGCTGCTTTTGGTGGCGGTGGTAGTGGAGGAGGCGGCCTGGGCCTCTGAAAAACCGGGATGCGGGAGGCATCTGAGCAGCACAACATGGTAGAACTTGCTCGTGGGGGGACAGCGGAAACAGATGTGGAGTGGACATGAAGGCGAACAAAGCTGGTTCCTGAGAGACCAGCACCACTGCTATGGACAGTCCATGCGTAGCACGGCTGGTGGGACAGAGTTATGTGTTTGAAGAACTTATAAGTGGGTTGAGAGTAGATTAGATGGCATCATAGGGTCTGTGCCATCTACTCTGAAGCCACTGTACTTGGATTTTCTGAACATACTCCCCAGTGTCGGGGATTCGCCCAGTTCGGGAAAAAACACTCACCGTAGGCAAAACCAAGCTCATCAAGCAGTGTTGAAGGCCCCAATCTTTGCCAAGCTTGCCTTCTTCTTTTGCTCCGCTTGGTCAGAGCGAGCATATGCAAGCATGCCTGAAATCAAGCATTCCTGAAATCACCAGCTCAATCTGCTCTACCTTCTCCCAGGGAGCGACTTTCGGCTTTGCTGCTTCAATTCGACAAGGTGTCGTTGATGCAAGATCCAATGCGCCAGGCTCGACACCTTGTCATGTCTCACACTGTCTCTCACCTCTGTCAGACCAAGTGATATGCCCTTTGCACTCACTTCCCTCAGCTCAACACACATGTACATAATAATATAACAATGTCTTTTGTCCCTTTCTGGTGAGCCTGGTCTGTGGGGCAAACCCTACTTTCATGAACCTCTCCACATGTTTCAGGCCTCGCAAACACCCTGAGGATCATCCCCTGATCGGACCTCTTCGGGATCCAACACACCCTGTCAACTGCATCGCGGCCGCACCTCGGGCAGGTTCTTTGTCTGGGCCGCATCTCCTGCGGCTGCGGGCAGGTGGAAAGAATCCATTTTGTTGGGCTTCAGGCTGGAAAAGCTGGAAAAGTGGAAGAGTTTTAACACTTTGACATGTGGAAATACTGGATTCTTGAGGATGCCAATTCTTTTGCAAGGTCATATGTTCATAGAAGATGTTCTGTGATGCAACCTTCATGGTGAGGTTGCAATATCAAAACTCTACACTGTTCGGCAAGCTCTCAAGTACTTGACACCGGCATTGCTGCAGTCGAGATGACTTGGATTTGCTCTCCAGGAACGAAGGAAAATGACAAAAACATACACATTCCGAGTTTCGGGGAAAATGGGCCCTGTTCGGTATAATCCACGAAAACACACAAATTGCTCCGGAAGTTCCAAACAGGTCCGACTGTGCGTGGTTGCCGCTGTGGTCCCTCCGTTTTTCGGTTGAACTGGCAAACCGGCGAGGTCCTCGGAAGTTCCCTGCGATGCTCCACATCCTGAGTGCATTTTCGATGGGCCATCCATCGAACTTTTGACGGTAGGACCGGCGTTTTCGGTAGGAAGTTTAGGGATGCTTTGAGTCAATCAACTTTGTTGGATTTGATGGGGGCTAGAGCAAGTCTCTGCAGGGTCTGTATCGTTGCTGAAGATGTTCTGGACATCTAAACATTGGATGTGTCCTTGCAATGGCATCTGCTCTTGAACTTCAAGACCACCCTGTATGATCTCTCCTCGGCACAAGAGAACCGCCATTGCGGCGGCTAAAACACCAAACAATATGATCTCTCCTCCGCACGAGATAATCACCATGACCATTGCGGCTAAAACACCCAACCACCAACAACTGTAGTTTGTTTTTAAGGTTTGTGAGAGAATAGTACTTTTAAACAAAGGGCCTGGTGTTCCCTCCTTCGTCCTCAATAGTCTTGCCTCGCCTCCTCCAATTGTATTTTTCCTTCTGCCTCAGTTCCTCACCCATTCATGCCACCAAGGAACACATTATAGCAATACCATTCAGCCAAATATGTTCCCCAAAAAAAATCCCTCAAATGTGGCAGTCGTTGCACGAACACGCCCGTTCCCGCTGAGTGGCATCGTCTTGAAGGCAGGAGGCACACGGCGAAAGGAGCCTCACCGAGTGGTTGGTCTAGCCGGGCCACTCAAAACGGAACAACCGATCCACAAAAATGCACATAGGACAGAAACTATAACACCACGTGATTTTGCCGGGCGTTCTCTAGTAATGGATCAGTTTCAAAAAAATGCATCGTTTGGCAACAAAACATGGCAAAACCAGAGGGTACTCGGTTCATCCATCCAGTTCCGTGTATGAGTGAAACCTTTGCGTGCAACACACCGAACTACTCTTCGCTCACCCCATCCCAAAGTTGTGGCGCAAATTTCGGTTGAAAAACAAAAACTAGATTGCGCGTCACTGGAGAGGAGACGAAGGTGGTCCGGCATTCTACCTGACATAAACAGTTTTTAAACATGTGCATTCTGTCTTGCAATTTTTCTCACATTGTCACATTTTGGCATGTTTTCCGGCGTATCTTTTGGCATTCTATCTGGCACGTTCTAGCTGGCATATCCTTTGACATCCTTTCTGGCATATTTTCTTGCACACTACCTGACCTGGCAAGAGTTGCCGCCTCATGAACCCAAGTGCAAAACCATGGTTCTATCCTGAGCAGTCAAGATGGAGATTTGTCACAGAAGCCTTTGCAGGTGGGTATCACTTAAATTTAGAAAATGTCACATGAAAAACTGCAACTTAGCTCATTAATATCACCTTTTCCTCCACGTTTCACAAAACCTCCTGCGGGTTGTGGAGGCAGCTATTGCAACTCAGTCAAGTTCTACATCTCTGGCACGTTCACCCCGTGGCGATGACACATCCTTTGACCAGGTATGGAAGTACACATAAATCTGTTTGGGGGGTGTTATTCAGCCCGGCAGGGGGTCGGAAATGGCTTGACTGCCAACGGAGGCGCGTTCTGTTGTAGTTCATTGGGCAGCTTCAACGATCTATCCTGGGAAGATGATTTTGTTGTGGTTGGGGTGTCGTGGTGGTGTAGTAGTGTGGTATGGTGGTAGCCTGCCACGGAGTTCACAGTGCCTGCCACTTCAGATTCACAAAACAGCGGAAGTTGCGCTTCAACCCTGTGGCAGCCTCTTCGCGTTGCCTCCAAGTTCCTTCCACAGTTGTTGACCTTGTCCCCATCTCTGTGGTGGACATCTTATCTGGCAGCTGCATCCTATCAAGTCTTGGAGCAGCTGCCTGTGAAACAATTCTTTGTAGCCTCGCCCTGGCAACTGTGCTGTAGTGTCCCAGTGGTGCCACTGGCAAGCACAGCGGGAGACCACTGCTATCCTCCTTCATTGGCGCCCAATCACTTCTGCATCCAACCAGGTCTTGATGTTCCAGGGCCGTGCCTTCATAGAATTGAACTCGTCCAAGGTTGCGGCCGTCGAAGGAACACGGCGGGAGGGTCCCTGCCTGCTTCCCGGGCCTCGGCTGCCGAATGCCTTCGTGTTTGCGCCGGGCCTCAGCAAAAGAACTGGCAGCAAGAAATGAAATCGACGGAAACAAAGCGTTGGGCCTCCCAGAACTTGAAGCGCGCGTCCTCAGGGAGCACCTGCGCGTTGAAAGGGGCGCGTGTTGGCCGACTAAAAATCTCTGACAGCTCAGTCAGCTGATGTCCAAATCTTCTGGCGCTTCTCCCGCTCCCTCGTCCTCGAGTTTGGCACCTGGACTCAGACAACATGTAGTCACTGTAGGATCATGGCCGCAACTCGTCTTAGGTCCAGACTGCGGCTCCACTGCGTATCTGCTTGGGCACAGCGCCCTAAGCTACAAAATCAAATCCTCTTCCGTAAGGTAATAGTCGGGCGGCAACTCCTGAGAAAACCGAGTTCCAGCACAGTCCGTCACCGAAAGAAACATTTTGCATAAAGAATTGAATTCTGAGGCTTGAACTGTGGCGGGAACTTCCTAGCACAAAAACACAGCGGGGAAGGGAAAGCGTTGAAGTTTCCAAGTGGTAGCCCCCTGACCTCCATGTCCATCTCGAGTCCTCAGTTCCAAGCGTAAAGGCGGCAGATGGCAGCAGCTTTGGAAAGCCAACCCGCAAACAAACACAATGATTCGATGAGTGAGGCCAAGACAGGGCCTCAGTGGGACAACATTGCTCAGAGTCTGTCCACTAGCGCAAGGTTTTGCCATCGCCAGTTATTTACACAACAAGACCGGGGCTTGAACAGCGGCAGGAAAATCCTTGCAGGGAAAGTCGAAAAACAACGCCGCAAAAGCCCACATGAACGCGCCTCAGCGTCCATATCCGCAGTTTGGTCCGACCAGGCTCGGGTATCCCAAAGCGTTTGCCCAAACCTCAGCAGAGATGGGAGCTTCAAAATAACGAAAACAGCAGATAACAACGTGAGTGGAATCGACGGGGGGCCAAACCTTGGAAGACGGCGCCGAACCCTTTCACAGGCGGATAACTGGCTCGATTTCCTGAATCTTGAAGAAAGTCATTGAAGACGATGATGCAAAAGTAGATGGAAAAAAAGCTTTGGCATCGCTTCGAAATTGTTCCGTCTACATACGTGGGTGGTCGTATGGCTGAGGTCTCTGCGTAGGTCTATGTCTTACACACCGACCGTGCTGACCGCTGTGAGCCAAAGGATCTGTGAAGACACGGATGCAGACGAGACTCGAAAGCCCTGCGATGTCCATGGCGTTTACCAGCGGCCAAGCTCTGGCCAATTTTGCTTTACAGTTCTAGCTCAGCTGAGACGGCGCAGAGTCTACAAACAACTGCATGTCCAAACAAACGCCCCACATCCTAAGTTTCTACCGGCCCTGAGAGCTCTAATTAACGAAATTGACAAGTAGGCGGCCAAAATTGACGGCGCGTCCAGAAGTTGCATTATTCCCAAAATGTTCAGGAGCAAACACGGGCCCAATCCCTCCATGTCAGGCTGGCCAGGGTTCATGCCTACCACCATGCAATTCTCCCTTTGCCTCCATCAGACCCCCTATACACTATACCAGCAAAGTCCTGTGCCCGCCACGAATCTGGACTTCAAGCTTCACAAAATGCGCTGCGCCTGCCATGAAATCTGTGCTCTGTGGCCCAGTCGGCTCGAGAACGGCACCTAGAGAAGATCCACGGTGGATCTCCGCAATATGAAGCTTTGACGGACAGACCGGGCGGGGCCAACTCATAGCAGCACAGCTTGCCATTCCACTTCTTTCCATTGCCGCGAGCCTCAGGCGCGCGCAGGTCAAGAATAAGATTGAATATGACAAGCAATGGATCAGTGTCTGCGCTGCGTCCCCAACATTTCTTTCAAAGCATCGGGTGCAGCAAAAGCCTTTGACTTTCTCTACGTCGACGTGAGCCAGGTACCTGCGCAGGCAACGCTGGCTTCTTGTCGCAGCAGGAGTTATTGCACCGGCTGCGAAGCTGCGGACGGACATTCTGGTGTCACGCAGCCTTGACGCGACGGCATTGGGTCAGGGACCTGCGACCGAGGTCAATGAGCGCTTTCCGAACCCCCCCGCATCTCGATCTTTGAAACATGTTGCTGCGCATTTTCTCAATGTCAGATTTCAGAAATGTCTGATTCTGGAGATGGAGCGCGCCTTGTACATCGCCAAGATTTCGCGTAACGACATGGCCTGCGGGCAGAGCCGGACAGTGCGCGGCGAAAGGACCCTCTTCAGAACGCATGTCTTCTTCGGATTTTGTATCTAACGGGCCTGCCACAAAGCACGAACAAAGTGGGGCGACGAGTGGCGGAATGGGATCGCTGGAAAAGGCTAGCAACGATGAGCCCGCGCGAATGGGCACAGGTCGGTGATGCAAAATAACGCCCACTTAATGCGCACATTGGCGGACAAAGCAATATTCACTGCCCCTGTCAGTGTGCACTGCGTTCAATTTCTTCAAAATGCTTACCTAATAGACGGTTTTAACTTATCCACTTGAAGTAACTTATTTTTACTTCACCTACTTAAAATCTACTTAAAAACTACTTATTTTAATATTTAAAAATAAGTATTTTTAAGTTACTTCTTTGTACTTATAAGTAGAAATAAGTAGAATTAAGTAGAAATAAGTGGAAGAGGTTTGAAAAACTAATGGTTTAAGAAAAGGCAAGTCACAAAGTCGAAAATGCTGATTTTGGACATACTATCTAGTGACACATGATTTTATAAAGCTGATTTCAAGAGTTTTGTTGTTGGAACAAATGATTTTGGCTAAAGAAATCCATCTTCTTGTGTTTTCACAAACACAATGAATGTCGATGAACATATAATATTGAGTACACCACTGTGTTTCTCTCTATAGAAGCGGGCACACCGCTGTTTATATTACAAGAGCGGGCACACAAAATACTATAGATATCTGATAGATACCTGATAGATACCTATAGATACCATGTACAAAACCTATAGTTATCTAAAGATACCTATAGATACCTATAGATACCCTGGCATAGTTTTGTATGGATATCTATAGATACCTATAGATACCCTGACGTAGTTTTGTAAAGATAACTATAGATACCTGATAGATACCTCATAGATACCTGATAGATACCTATAGATACCATGAGCAAACCCTATAGTGCTGCAAGTCATGTTTCCAATGAGAAATACAAGCTGTGGCACGTCATTCCTAACCTGTTAGCCAACCATCTGGTCAGATAAACTTGCCCAAATATCAATGAACTCCTATGCCAACAGGCTGCGCTGCGAAAACTTGACCTTTAACAAACCTTCTGAAAAAGCAAAAAGTACAAAATCACATGTTGAAACATAGAAGTCAACAACAACAATCTAAAAAAACAACAAAATAAAATAAGTAGATTAAGTAGAAATAAGTAGACCTAAGTAGAATTAAGTATACGTATGCTACTTATACATAAACGAACCATGCCTACTTATTTTTACATAGTGAAATTACTTCAAGTAGCTGTAAATAGCAATTAAGTAAAATAAGTGTTTCATGTACTTATACAATTTATATCTATTTATTTTCTACTTAACCTGGTTAAAACCATGTTACAGCCACCTTAGAGCTACTTAACTTATAAGTGGACAAGTAAATTCCGTCTATTAGGTAGGCAACGTTGCCCTCTTCCAGCAACCTGACGTGGCGGCCAAACTGTGCCGCTTTCACGTTGGTCTTCTTTGTACACCGGCGTGCAGGCTGAGGCCTGGCCATCGCACTTGCCCAGAGAACGGTCTCACGGCGCAGCAACGTGGCGGAGCTTCCAACAAGGAACGCCATCCCTTGATTGTGGCTTTCCAAGAGCTTGAGCCGCATTGCTTGCTTAGCTGCAAATCCAGCCACCATGTTTAGTGTGACATGGCGGCGGTGTTGTGGGATGTAGGTTCGCCCAAACCCCTCTCCGGATGCAGCGTGGTGGTAGATCACCTTGATGCGTTTCTGGGTCATTGTAAAGGTCCCTTTCACGAGAAAAGTTGCGGCAGGTACTCGTCGCACTATGGCGACCAAAGTTGAATTGCAGCAGCCCCCACTCTGGGAGTAAACTTTCACGGCCCTGTCTCCCCACTTGGTTGTCAGTTTGTAAACGCCAAATGACTCCCAACCAAGAAGGCGGCGGAATCGCCTGGAGTGCCAGCAACGAATTTTTGGGCGGCTAAAGTATGTTGCACCTGCTTCGAAATCTGCACCTTGCGGTTCACAAAACGCTCACCTGCCACGGAAATTACAATTGCAGGCGCTCAAAGCGCTGCGTTCGCCACAAGACCTGCGCTTCAAAATTCTGCCTGCGCGAAATGTGCACTTCGAGGTTCGCATTGCTGTGTCTGCCACTAGTTGGTCATGGTGGGGGTTGGGCCGCATGGTAGAAGTGCAGCTATACAAGTCTCAATTGTATTACCTCCATAGCAGCAGCTCTAGAAAACCAAACCTGCAAACTGCAGATGTACTTGTAAAATACCTACAACTGCAGCATTTTCGAAAGAGCTCTAGAAAACCACACTTGAGAGGAGGGAGACACGAAAGGTAGGACAGCGGGAAGAGAAGAGAACGCGAGAGGCAGGAACAAAAATGCAATGTTCGACATGGTGATTTATCCCCTCGGAGGCGACCTTTCGTAAATATATGTTCATATGCACTCTAAATGTTCAAACATATGCTCTCGAAATGTTCAAAAAGATTCTTAGGAAAACAAACTTGCCCCATGGCTCAGATCATCGGTGAGCATTGAACCGGAACATCATAGGATTTGAACTATCCTGAAACCATAAGAGGCTCACGAAGACGCTCCCCAGGAGCGAATTGACGTGCTTCACAAAACAAACTCTTGGTATGTATCCCCTCGGGGAACACCTTTCGTGATTAGAATTTCATATTCACTCTTTCTGAATGTTCAAGAGGGTTTCAACTATCCTGAAATCATGAGAGGCTCATGAAGACGTTCTCCAGGAGAGAATTGATTTTAGAGGGGGGAGGGGGGGGGGGTCTGTATTGAAAAATCAATTCCAAGGGGGCGGGGGGGAGGGGTCTGTATTGAAAAATCAATTCGAGGGGGGGGTCTGAATTGAGCGATCAATTATTAGACCCGGACGTCCCAACACTTGCTTCGCAAGACAAACTCAAGGTATCCCCTAAAGGGCTACCTTTCGTGACCTGCAAGCTGCAGATGTACTTCTACCATACCGACAGGTGCAGCTATATAAGTCTCAATTGCATTACCACCTCCGTGGCAGCAGCTCTGGAAAACCACACCTGCAAGCTGCAGATGTACTTGTACCAAACAGACAGACGCAGCTAGTCTCACCGTACTAGAAAACCACACCTGTAAGTGCTTGTTGTAGCATGCCCACAAGTGCAGCGATATAAGCCTCAATTATATTACCACTACCGTAGCAGCAGCTCTGGGAGACCACTGCAGGTGTACTTGTATTGTAGCATACCTACACTTTCAATTGTATTACCCCTAGAAACTCACAGGTGCAACCTGCAGATGTACATGTAGCATACCTACACATGCAGCTATATAAGTCTCAATTGTATTAAGCCGGTATAAGCATTAACCTTTGCAACGCTTGCCTCGGTGTCCTCGCGCAATCGGATACACGCGCATCGTTGACAGTTAACGGCTTGCAGTGACGAGCCCATCGCAAGCTATTGCCAAAAATCACAAAGGCTTCTTGCCAAATCACAGTTGCGCATGTCGCTTATGACAGTCTACCCTTTGTGACAAAGCAGAGAAGGCAAAGACTATGTACGCGTTGCAGCTGAGAGCTCAAGCGGAGCAAGCGTTTTCTCTTGGAGCACACTTCATCCCTGCCCTGAGGTCTTCGAGGAGAAGTGTGCGAAGATGTGCTCCACTTCAGCATCGCTGCTCCAATTCTTGCACGGATGCCCCAACTTGCCAACGCCCAGCTTGCCGCCACGGCGGCGACGATGGGTTTTTGGACTATCCTTCGGGTAGCCAATTTGGCTGAGATGTTCTAAGCAAGTCGGCTTGGGCTAGTGCCTCGCACAAAAATGATCCCCTGGTCCTGTAAATGCGCTTGCAGTGCCCTGTCCCGCTTCTAGCAGCGCTTGGTTGTTGGCCGCTGGCCGCCAATACGATCTCGAAGGGTCTTTTGCGGCACCTGTGGGGGTCTTTTGAGGTCTTCTCGCCCATGCACCGGGAGATTGCCCTACATCAAGTCAACGCGCTTCGCAAAAAGGCATGATCCAATCTCTAAGACAGATGACCCACCTTCCCGTGGCATCGTGGCATGGCCGCGATTTCCCCATATGTTTGTGAAGGACCTCCGTGTGAGGCCGCAATTGCTTTGAGGACTCACCTCTCCGACGCCTTTGGGGGTTCACTTTCCGTGTGTACAACCTCCCCCCTCTACTGTAATTCCACGGGTGATACTACTATTAAAATTAGTCTTTGCGAACAGGTGGTAGTCAGCTAAACACCGTGAAAGTAGTGGATGACCATCCGTCTCCCAAATGGCAACTTGCGGGCTCCTATCCTCCGGCAATGGGGGACTTGAACCGAAGTACATAGCACGTGAACAACGGTACACATCATGATGTGACATCGGTGACTAGTACGTGTACGCTGTTACTTCGCTTACATTCTCTCCCCAACAGTTCGACATTCGACCGAGGCCTTCTTCGACAGAGGATGGGGCAGAGATTTCGGTCCGCATATGCGCCTGAACTCGCAAGCGCCAGCGAGGCACGTTTGGCATCTTCTGGCGTTTGGGGGGATGCATGATGCGTTAGATGATCTGTGGATGTCATGGACATCGGCCCTGCTGACGCTGTTGGGCGACACCTTGAAACGGACCTATAGCCGAGTTTGCCTCCAAAATCCTCTAATACCTGAACAGGAATAGACGCAGCTTCTTCAGCAAATGTTTGGTCACATCTGCTTCACGTCGGAAAAATGGAACATTCAGCTTGCTTTGGTCGGATCTAAGAGACATTCGGAAAACGGTCGGATCGCAGCACCCACAGGGAGCCCCTGTAGTGTGAAGGTGCAGCCTCCATCATGGTCTTCTGCAAGATCTCATCTGAGGTCTGAGAGGCCAAAGTCCTGCTTGGAGTTGGAGAGGCCAGTTCCCCCGAAGATCCGCTCAGCACTTAGAGTAGGTATGGTTTTCTTTCGTGCTGAAGGGTCACACACGCGAACAACCGGGGCCGGGAAACGGTCGACCGGCGAAGGCGTTAAGGAAAGCCCCAGGTGGATGTGTGATTTCCGAGTCGAGTCGCACATGCAAGTGCATGCATGATAGGTTAGGACATGATGACAAGCACATGATGACATGTTAGGATCAAGGACATGACAGTAGTGTCTGTGCGGACATGATGACATGATGACGGAGACTTCTCCAAGAGCGGCTTTGTTGTCTCGTCCGAATCCATACACAGCATGGCAGTGTAGTGCGTACACCCGACATGTTAGGATTAAACACATGGATCTTCGCCTATCTGGGCTTGTCTTGTCAGGACAACGATAAACCTGACTCCTCCGATAGGGAAGTCCACTGCAGGGTTTCAACTGTTTCCCAGGGAAGCCGGTTTTTTCGTAGGGAAGATAGCAGTTAACCTTTTTCCACATGTTCGCATCGCAATCTGAGCGGGGAAAGCAATTCCAAAAAAGGTGATCCACTGACTGGTATGTTTATACGTTTGAGAACAAATCACCTAAACCAATCGGCAACGTCTACTTCTACTACTACTACTACTGCTACTCTATGCTACGAAGTGAAGTGGTACATGTGAATCACCAAGGAGCCCTTAGCGGCGAAAAAACCATCCAAACCTGTACCCAGCTGGGTGCCCTCCTGTTACCACCTCATCTATATTAGTTCAATAATATGTGTCTGTATATATATATAAATACATTAATATAAGCATCCAAGAAATGTCGGAACCACCGGAATTGGAGGCTCCAGACTCCAAGTGTAAGAGTTCACATGGAGTTGCAGTCCAAGTCTGATACGCAAAAAACAACATGGCTGAGCCCAAAGACCCCCTGATCCCTCAGCATTTGGTGCAACATGAAGCTCGAGCGTGTTGTTCACAGCATCTTCTTGGGACCCTCCAGAACTAGATCGAGCTTTCCAAATCCTCCCAAACAAGTGAGGCGCCTTTCACAATCCAATTATCTCTTGCATGTGCTTGAGAGCGAATTCAGTGGAATTCAAAGATCAGTCATTGACCAATCCCCCCAAAAAATCAAAAAAATGTGTCTCGTTCCCCCGGAGAAATCACATCCGCACCGATAACACCGTAACCACATCCTGATGGGCTTCCGCCCCGTCTGATGCAGCGCGTGGAAATCCAGGACTTGCGCGCCATCGCCTCGAGAGCTCGACGGCGACCCCGAACGACGAGAACGAGAGCGAGGACGAGCGGTTTCGAACGACGAGGACGAGCGGTTTCGCATGGTTTCGTGGTTTTGGGGGTGAAAAGCGGGAGTTCCAACACATCGGATTAGGGAGGAGAAAGGATGTTATGTCCCTAAGATTTGGTGTGAAAAGGGTGATGCATGTGAGGTGGAAAGAAGTGAAGAAAAAGAACTGAGACAATCCATATCACCAAAAATTCACCAAAAACCACAAAAACCACAAGACCACAATCTGGTTTTGAACCAACTTGAGCAACCCTCGGGTTTGGCTGATTTGTGGTTTCAACTCACTCAAAAAAGATGAATCAAAGGGTTCCATCTAAGTAAAGGTTGAACACTAGGTTGAACATAAGAATAGCTGAAACCACCACCCAGCTTAGGGTTTGGTTGTTAAAGAAGTGCCCAAACACCTTTACATTTGAGGGCCAGATTTTTTAGGGTGCCATGACGGTTTCTGTCCTTTCACTTGTAGATGGACCATGGTCTCAGTGTAGCGTGTTCATGATGATCCATATGCAGCACCAAGTAAATGCATGCAAGTAAATAAGTTCATCTTCCCCTTCCGGAATGCACATCATATGGTACATGTACTGCATGGCTTTGGGGAACATTATATAACCATCCAACACCAACTGCGGGCAAAGGCGCGGTAGATGGTGAACACCTGCCCTGCTGACGAGAGCACCTTAGAAGCTACAGAAGCTATCTGCTGGGACAGGTTCTCACCGGCGCCACCTCATACGCCTATTACTACATGTTTTGGGCTGATTTGAAGGTTCCTATCCTCTGGGATAAGTATGGGGCGCCTGTGATTGAGATCCACTGACCATGACTCAAAAAAGCACGCGCATATACGCGCATCAAGTCACAATAAGGACAAAACAATTAATAAAATATGAACAACTTTTAATACATTATACAGTGTACATCACTCTGCAAATGGTTTAGAGATCTTGTGCTTGACGCCAAAGTCCTTGTCTTACTGCCTATTACAGCATACTTTGTTCATGTCTTTTCGAGGAAAAAAAAAAGAAAAAACGCCCTGCGTCGGAACCATCTTCGAAGAAACTGCACGGCTTCCGGACATCGTCCCTCTGCCGTTCCTTCCGTTCGTCTCCAACACTTCGTCCGGAATGCCTGGTCACATCAGACCCAAAACACCAGCTCCAATGGAACTGCTGGTCTCTCGGTGACCCCCCGCTTTCAGTTCCATGGAGCTGGACCCCCGCTTTCAGTTCCATGAAGCCACTCCTCCGAGTGCCATCGAAGCCACATTCACCGGCTCGCTCTTCACCGGAAACCTCTCTCCTTAGGGCTGACCCCGTCGTTCACGACGGGCTCAGCAGAACAGGGCGGAGGCAGGGTCCGGCCCGATTTGAGAGATGGGTGGAACAAAACTCAAACACCAATGTTTCAAAATACTCCCTTAGAACTGTTCGGTCAACGGATCTTTTCCATTGGAACGGAAAGGGGTCCAGCAAGAAAAGCACACACACACACACTGGTCCTCTGGTGCTGGATTTCATCCCCACCTTTTTCGACCTCAATCCAACCTCCAACAGAGCAAGTTGATCAAAGGCCTGTTGGGTCAAAGACCAAGCCCTCCCACATTCAGAGTCTGAACCAGTATACATTATATAGCTGTAGTATACTGTATAGTCCTGTAGTCCCTGATCTAAGAGTCAAGAATCAAAACTCTTCTGGAAGGCCCTATATCGAAAAGCACCAAACCAAATGGACCTCCGAAAATCCAAACCAATTGAAGCAATCTCACAGGCCATGAAACCGGAACAAAAATAGATGGACATGTTCGCAACGTGCCACTCGGCCCTACTCATAAAGGCCTCGTCTCAAGAGTGAATCCTCCTCAATCACTATTTCAGAAGATTTTTTGTGGAATTTGATGTACTATTTGTACCATCCTGTACCAGCAAACCCTTTGGTCCAGTTCCAGTCGACTGAAACACCGGAATCGTTGACTTGAACTCCTGTCAATTCACTCATTCTTGTGCCGGAGTCTTCACCTTTGGGATGGCCCTCTGACCAACTCCGCGTAGGGCCACTACGCGGAACCATCTCCCAACGCGTCCGAAGGCCAGGCGTCCGAAGGACGTCAAGAAGTTGTTCTGCCCCATCCTATGGCGAGGACGGGGTGGTTCCGGTTCCGGGGTGGTCCTGCCACCCAAGGGGAGGCTTCTGTTCATCACCGCCCTGCTCACCGATCCACCTCTTGTTGAGATGGTATGCGAATGTATTCGAGGTTGTTTGGGCTTCTCAAGTTGGGAGAGACATCCCAGTCGACCAACGATTTGTTTGTAGTCCACAACTCTGTAGCACTGTAGGAGTCCCTGTAACGTGCGCACGGTTCCTGTAAGCAACACCAGTGGGCGAGCGGGGAATCTGGATCTTGCCAGCGGGGAATCTGGATTGACCACCCGTGCAGCCTCCTTTTTGAATGTGCCAATACTCTGAAGACCATTTTCCACTTCCATGTTAGTGAGTCAGAGTGTACATCAATTAGGAAAACTAAACACATCATGGGCATCAGTGAATGTCAGTGATATATGCGGGGTTAAAACATATTGTTTTGCCTTGTAGTGGGTCATGGAATCATGGAGTGTGGAGGATTTCACCCCCCAAAACATGCAATCTGTTCTGAAGATGTATCAAATGATGCCCACATGAAAAAAATACAAGTTAAACCCAAAGGCACCTATCGACATGAGTTTTGGAGCAAACCAAAACTAAAATGATTCGTCAACCTGGGAGTCATGTTGCGTGTGGTTGCACGTTCCAAGTTCGCCGTTCACATCACCACGATCGCCTCACGGTCACGCAGTTCACGGCATTGACCTGCCGGGGTTCCCCCCACGAGTCAACGACACAGATGGCTAGCCATGCGGTGGTAGGAGGTCGAAGTCCCCCAGGTCCGGAAGAAGTAACAGCGTGTTTTGGTCTTTAAAAAAACACATTACCCTTGGCTTTGAGGCAACATTTAGATGTGAAACGGAGATGCGTTACATCAACCCCACCCAAAAGCCATTCGTTGACAGACCGCTAGCGCGTATAGACATGAACGCTTCTGAGAACCCTTGACAGCACAGTAGCCAGTAGCTCGCACAGAGGATTGAGCGGCAGGTTTGCAACGTCTCCAAATCGAGATGTCACCGTTTCCCGGTATCGTATTAATGGCATGCGCAGGCCTCACGAGTGCGTGCGCGCTAATGCGATCCCGTAGCGAAGGGCGAACGTGGTGCATTGTGCCATGCGTGCTCTAGAGCGACTTTCACCGGGAAAGGAAGACCCAATCCAAAAGCACGTATAATTACTCACTAGTATCAACCGCAAATATCCCCTTTTATAGCCTATGTCAGTCGTGGGCAGTGAGTAGCTGGGAGATCCGCACAGATTCGCAGCGACCTTCACCAGATTCGCTTCGTAACAGTGCCCCCTGCGTCGCTGATGCCTTGAGCTTGAGGCTGGACTCCACATGGAGTCCACGATACTCCTTGAGCTTCCCCGCCATGCCCACACCTGGGGAACTGCGAAAGGTTGCAAGAAAAATATCCCTTACAAAGTGGGTGGATACGTGGGTATCACCATTCCATAAATCGGCGACCCCCGGATTCAATCTCTATAGAATAGGATAGAGTAGGTTGCCAGAGCACTTGTCAAAAAATGCATGTTAGAAAGTAGTTTCATGTAGTTTCTCTATCGAATCAGGGACCCCTGGTTTGCATCTAGATCCTAACAAATAAATGTGATGAAACTTGCGAAGGGTAAGGAGATGTAAGGATGTTTAAGGGTGAGGGTGTGGTGGGGTGATATTTGGGGTCTTGATTCTATATAGTGGACAAACGGGGATAGGTGCATACAAACAATCTAACCACCATTGTCTATCCCGTCAACAAAGAAAACCTCTAACACCGTTTTAAGGACATTTCTTTAATCACATTCTGCATCGCATAAAACCGTTTCTCCATAGAATCGTGATGCCCAAGTATCTCTAGAGAACCAAGCGTTTTCTATGTTAGTATGTGCCTACAACTGAACCCTTTTTCACCACCCCAATGTGTACCTAGAACCTGAGACCTCTAGTTTGCATCACCAACCGCCCAAAATGTGGTCTTTTGTCTGGGTTCTAGCTAGGTATGCCATACAGTCGACCACATCGTACCGAAAGGCACCAGGGTTTTTCAGGCCCAAGAAGCTTTTTTTCGGGAACAACACAAGTACCATCAAGCACCCTGATTCTTCTTCCGTACACTCTCCCAATGTCAGTGCTGAGTGGCGAGAAAGAGCATAATCATCTCGGCATCCCACCACTTCCACCGTGAAGATCATGTCGTAGTCCTGCTGACATCGGCGGTTCAGACTTGAGATTGGTTGTGAATTTGAGAGTGCAACGACGCATTGACCTCTTTGGACTTGAGAATCGGTGGACAAATGGACCGGGTCATACCTGGTCGAGGTTTGGCTGCACAACGCCTAGCTGAGGTCTTACGAGGAATCTTGGCTAGACTTGTTATAGTACATGAATGATCATGAATGTACTTGGTGTGGTAGAAATATAGTAAAAGTTTCCTCAATGCTGCTTTATTAGCCAGCCAGAAAGAAACATGTTGTCAGTATGACCAAAAAAGTCTAAATGCAGCCTGAGAGCCTGATTCTGGCTAAAAACAAGATTGATCAGGGGCTCAAGCTGGACCTCCCAATCCTAGCCAGGGTAGGCCGACGGGGATTCTAAAAAGACAATTCCTTTGAAACCTGCTGGCCCTCCCAACCGAGCTCTTCCCGGTCCAACGAGGGCTGTTGGGCGCGGCACCGCAAGTGGCTGCTGGGATGCACATCCTTGGAGCGTCACGGTGGGTTTCCACCGTGGAACGGGTGGAATGGGTGGAACTCGAAGCATCGGAGGTGGTTGAGGCTTTTTGGATGTGAAAAGAACACTGTAAACACATGCAGGAGGTGTCTTTGAGCTTGTTCGGAAGCCTCACATGCTCCTCTTCTTTCGCCCCCAAAGGGATGTGGTCCGACATCACATGAGCCAATTAACCAAAGCGGGCTCCACTCCTCACTCCCTCAGTTTAAAGGGTTGACCCTTTCCCACCTGTTCTTGTTTCGTGGCGTCCCCCCCTCGAAAAACAGTTATATACTTCTTGCAGGTGATCCACGTACTTCGGAAGCACATCCCCTCCCACACCCGAAGACCATCTTCCTTGAGACATCTTAAACACGGTCTCCTCCACCATCTCTGCTCCGCCCCTCGACTCTGCCGCACACACTCGACTACTCGACCCTCCGCCGCACACCACTCGACGCCGACACGTGCGAGGCCGCGCGGTGGATCTTCCCCGGTCTCCGTGTGCAACGCCGAGGCGCCAGGTAGCGGTGGGTGAACTGCGACTTCAGTCGGATGCGGTCGCCCACCTTCACCACGCCAGGGCCAGCCTGGAGGGCCCAGGGAGGGATGGTGGTGATGGGATGGGGCTGGAGGGGTTGAGGTTTTGGGGGAGGGTCGACCGGGTCGAGTGTCTTTCTATTCTCTTTTTGAGGGTGTGGGGTGGTATATTGAGGACGGGGAAGCTGAGGAAGTGAGGTTACATTGCACTTTCGCTTACAAGAAAAGAACAATGGTTTCAATTTCGATGAGATTCAATGAGATTATATTAACATAGTGGTTTAACCATGTTTAACTAATATAGTTAGTTAGCAGACAGTCATATATATTCATATATAGTCTGTGATCCTGTGGTTTCATATTCCGGTTGATGGAACCGGTCTGATTCTTCACGAATCAACCACTTGCTGCCTTTGCGAAAACAACTGGCGCGATCCCGCAGGAAGTTGACCTTCGGATCAACTCCTGAACTCTTCTCGGATCAACTCCATGTTTCACCAAAAGACTTCAGGACGACCCAAACGATGTTTGTTCAAAACCCATGGCCAAATGAAAGAACCATCACCCAGGCAAGACCAAACGAACAGGCTGAATGAGCCCTTACCGACTTGGGACATGAATATGAATGCAAAGTTCGACGGCCTAAGGTATACCGCAAAGAGAACGCAAAAAGGTATGGCGCGAAGAGAAGAAACATCGACAGAACATCCAAAGGTCAAGTTTTATCCAGAGGAGGATGCAAAAAGGCCAGAACAAAATGGAATGACAAGGCCAACGGTGATGTTCATCGTTGAATCAGCAAAACGATAAGAACCACTGCCCATCTCAAAGCCTACTTCCTGTACTCTATTAATCATGTAACACGTACTGTCATAGATAACCCAAGTTTATACCTGAGCAGCGCCTTCGACAGTCTCACATAAAACTTCTGCTGTCCACTGTCAACTTTGCCAGCTCGCCCTGGCCCTGGGTCAATTCTTCACCCAAGCCATCAGTTAGCGCACAGGACAAACAAGTGGATGATGAAACACGCATGAACCTGATAATATCATGTGAATTCATTTGACAGATTATGAACATACTTTGACAACATTCAAAACAGCAAGTAAATGCGCATGGCCCAATATGTTTCGGCGAGCTATGGAGAGCTGGAAAATATGAAAAAAAAATGGTTGACTGGGGAGCATCTTCCATCCCAACGGTCCGCTTGCTTGTTGGGTTTGGAAGAACCGGCCCTCGGTCCGCATCTCAAAGCCTCTTAGGTGTTTTGGACGCCCACATACTGACCCGCGACCTACCTGCGTTTGCCATATTTCTCCACACTGGGGTGGTTGTTGCCTCTTTCCCTCTTTCCGTGGGTAGATGATCCCAATGCGTCGTGCGCATTCGTGCGCGCATGCGTTTTTTTCGTGCCTCGCGCTCCACCATGAAGAGTTGGCAGCTGGTGAGTTCAGCACTCTGGGCGAAAACGTCTTCACCATCCACCTGCGAGTACCAGTTGTCCGCCAACAAGCGACAAACTCAATTAATTTAGGGTCGTCTTTGAAGTCAGCGTGCCGAGATGGATGGAGAGGTCAGCTTCTAGGTGTGGCCAGCATGTTCTGGTTTAAAATGCATGTGTTTCTTGAAAGGGAGATCCCCAACCAATGGGTTTTGGATGGCATTGGTCTATTTTCCCCACCGAACCCAGGAAATCGAGACGCCTGGGTTCCCGGTCTCCCGTAACCTTCCGATGGCCGGATTTTCGACATGAGACGGCCCCGAGACGAGCTACAGGTGAGCCAGCCAGGGCCGCCTCGAGGTTCACATCGTTGCAGCGCAAGAAGACCACATCATCATGTCTGGCGCTTCGGTGTTCAACCACCGTGCATGCTTGGCGGAGCAAGCGGATAGGTGGTGGGAGTGGCAGTCTGAGGAGCAGGGAAGTGGTGGGAGCAGTCTGAGGTGATTCTGAACGGTGATTTAGGTGATTCAGCGAAGGTCCAATGCTCTCACAGTGGGAGGTCTGTGATGAAACACCTGTTCAATCCTTTTCACATGTTCCGGTACTGTTGAAACCCTAAGGCCCTTACACACAAAGCAACACTGTCTCCTCGCTGGGCCTGGAAAAAAAGATGGAGCCCACGAACCCGAATGCAAACACGTTCGAAAAGCTACATATGTCCAAATGACACTCTTGTAGGACACTCTTGTGGGACACTCTTGTGGGTCACTCTTGTAGGAAACTCTTGTGGGACACTCTTACGGGACACTCTTGGGGGACACTCTTGCGGGACACTCTTGTGGGACACTCTGGTAGGAAACTCTTGTAGAACACTCTTGTGGGACACTCTTGTGGGACACTCTTGTAGGACACTCTTGTGGGACACTCTACTAGGAAACTCTTGTGGGACACTCTTGTGGGACACTCTTGTGGGACACTCCTGTGGGACACTCATTTGGGACACTCTTGTGGGACACTCTTGTGGGACACTCTTGTGGGACACTCTTGTGGGACACTCTTGTTGGACACTCTTGTGGGACACTCTTGTGGGACACTCTTGTAGGAAACTCTTGTGGGACACTCTTGTAGGACACCCTTGTGGGACACTCTTGTAGGGCACTCTTGTGGGACACTCTTGTGGGACACTCTTGTAGGAAACTCTTGTGGGACACTCTTGTGGGACACTCCTGTAGGACACTCTTTTGGGATACTCTTGTGGGACACTCTTGTGGGACACTCTTGTAGGAAACTCTTGTGGGACACTCTTGTAGGACACTCTTGTGGGACACTGTTGCGGGACACTCTTGTGGGACACTCTTAAGGGACACTCTTGTGAGACACTCTTGCGGGACACTGTTGCGGGACACTCTTGCGGGACACTCCTGTAAGGCACACATTTGGGACACTCTTGCGGGACACTCTTGTGGGACACTCTTGTAGGACACTCTTGTGGGACACTCTTGTGGGACACTCTTATAGGACACTCTTGTAGGAAACTCTTGTGGGATACTCTCGTAGGACACTCTTGTGGGACACTCTCGTAGGACACTCTTGTGGGACACTCTTGTGGGACACTCTTCTAGGACACTCTTGTGGGACACTCTTATAGGACACTCTTGTAGGAAACTCTTGTGGGATACTCTTGTAGAACACTCTTGTGGGACACTCTTGTGGGACACGGTTGTGGGACACTCCTGTGGGACACTCATTTGGGGCACTCTTGTGGGACACTCTGGTAGGACACTCTTGTGGGACACTCTTGTAGGACACTCTTGTGGGACACTCTTGTGGGACACTCTTGTTGCACAGTCTTGTAGGACACTCTTGTGGGTCACTCTTATGGGACACTCTTGTTGTGGGACACTCTTGTGGGACACTCTTGTAGGAAACTCTTGTGGGACACTCTTGTGGGACACTCCTGTAGGACACTCTTGTGGGATACTCTTGTGGGACACTCTTGTGGGACACTCTTGTAGGAAACTCTTGTGGGACACTCTTGCAGGACACTCTTGTGGGACACTGTTGCGGGACCGTTTCGTACGAGACTTCCTCCAAAAGTCACATGTCAAGTCCCCAAAACGAGCGTTTCGCACGAGACTTCCTCAAAAACTCACATGTCAAAGTCCGCAAAACGAACGTTTCGCACGAGACTTCCTCCAAAAGTCCAGCGGAAACACCCATCGGAGCACACACATCACGCAGCCCTGCCAAGCAGTTTCGCGATTCCACCCCACCAAACGACACCCGCTCACACGCCAATCCCAATGTGACAGCGACATTCACCTCTACCACAACTCACAACCTCCCGATTCCCTGCGCCTGCCACGAATCTTTCCGCGTCCACACGTCTAACGCGCACAAAGTACTGCGCCTGCCACGAAATGTCACCTCCGTCACACCTCGCACCCTCACGATTCCCTGCGCCTGCCACGAGAATCGCACTTCCACACCTCAAAAGCCGCACAAAGTCCTGCGCCTGCCACGAAAAGTGCCAATATCATCTCATGTGAGCTTCCACCAAATTTGCACCACACCACACGTTTGGAATGATTTCGACCCGTTCTGAGCACACTCCCATCCACCAAAATCGGCATTTCAGCTGAGACTTGTCACGAAAACAGAGCTTCGATGCCACACCCTGAAACGCAAATCCCAATGGCACGGCCACATCCAACACCCCAAAAACATGACTCTCCAAACGCTAATCCCAATGGAACTGCGCAGCAATCTGCAGATCTCACAAAACGCTGCGCCTGTGCAGCGAAACGCATCACGTTTCTTGCGCGACATGTCATTTTCACGCAAATCACAATGGAACAGCGGCGCAAACTGACACGTGACACATCCATGAAAAGTCACTTGCAAAAGCTTCCCCCAATGGCAGCGCCTTAGCGCTCCACCGCGAACGGTTGCGGACGGTTGCGGACGTAGAAACAACGGATCGCGAACAAGGCTCTACCCCCAGACCCCCAAGAGTTAAACGAGAACCCTTCGCTACGCATTCGGGAAAAACACCAAAGTCTGGCAAATGAACAAATGCGTGTGTGTGTGTGTAGTCTTGCTCTGCCACAGCCTGGGTTCATAGCAATGAATGGCTGGAGGCAGTGTTCCAGGCGCAAAGCGCCCAACGAAAAAAGAAATCACCAAAGGCAGATAGTGGTCTATCCGTAGATTTCAATGTCCAGCAAAAATCCTGCGAAGGCAAAGTGACTGCTGCAGCGAAGACAGCAAAACCATGTCAACTCATGCTTCCGTCAAGCTGACAAGCCAACAGAAGGAACATCACAGCTGGGTGCGGAAGGAGCGATGAGGCGCCTCAGGAACCGCAAAGCACTCCGCTGCCTATCAAGCGCTGAAGCAGACCAGGCCACTGCAGCATCAAAGGTAAATTTCCAATCAAGAAGCTCGTGCACAGACCGAGCGGCCTGTTCCTGAGCTTTGGCGTCGGCTCGCTTGTTGAGGAGTCTCCAAGTCTCAGCCATGTGGCCAGCAAGGGACGGGGTCCAATCAAGAAGCTTATCGTGCGAAGGCACCCACGCAATTTCGTGGGTGGAGCAAACTAAGCTTAAGGCCTTCCACAGGCCCGGCGCCCACTGAGGCAAATATCCCGTCGTTTGGATTTGCTTCACACGTCTGACGACTGCAAGGTTATCGCAAACCAACAGAAGATCTACGCGCAAATGAGTCGCAGCAATGAAAGCTTTCAAAACAGCAACCGATTCAGCGCCAAAAATGTTTTGATCCAGTCCCTGGAGACGGGCAGCAAAAACCCGGTCGGTTGTTGCGACACTCCAAGCAGCCCTGCGCAGATTCTGGACCTTTTGAGAACTACCATCGGAAGCTACCAAAAGTACCTGGTCGGCCGTGGCAGTCCTACGAAAAAGATCACACAAATTCGGATCCGGTCGCAAAAACTGGCTACACCTTTCATCAGGTATGGGAGGAAGTTGGATGCTAGGAACGAGCAAACGTTCCTCAGCTTTGCGTGTAGGCCGAGAAGCCTCAGGCAACCCTGGGCAAGAAGGACAATGCCACGTGACATGTGTGCGTGAAGGCCATTCCCTCCCGCATGCACAATTGAAGGACTCAAGCTCATGCTGCTTGGCGAGTTTACGACTATCTTTGCCAGCACCGACCGCAATGCAGAAGGACTCCCAATCAGAGACGCCCTGACGCATCCAAGCTGAATGCGCCTGGTAGACTGGCAAAACACGTTGACAAACCTCCGCGTCATCTTGCGCGCGGGGCTCGTTTCTCCAAAGGTACGCCAGCCATGCGTGTCTCATGGCCTCTTTGATTGCCGGCAACCCGTCAAATGCCAAATCAAGGTCCCCCTGCGGGGTGCGGAAACGACTCTGCGAGATGTGCTGCCACTGCCACTTGTTCAAAACTTCTGCCAATCGGTAAGAGGTCGAAGGTTGGGGCATAGCGGCACACACCTGCTCGATGTCGAGCAGGGAACAGCAACTTGAGACAGCACGTCTGACTTTCCAAAGCTCATGAAAGACTACCCGCCTGTCCAACGCGAATTCAGGACAAAGATCCGGACCTAAATACTGCCAAAGCAGAAAACGAGACCTGCCCGGCACGGCACGGCCGATGATGGTTTGCTCAATGGTGTTACGCCACTGATTCAAGAGCTTTTTGGACACAGTTGTCCACGGCCCCGAATGAGCAAACAAAGACAACACCAAACTGCGCGTGAGCTTGCGTTTGTTTCTCTGGTTGCTGGTTGCGGTCCGAAGTCTGCGCAGTCGCGCAGAAACCTTGCGAGTCACAGTGTCCTCTACAGGTGTGCGCCGACGCTTGGAGAGAGAGTAGTGGACACCAAGGAGCTTAAATTGTCTGCAAACTTTCCAGTTCCGGTGGGACTCATGATTCCACCGTTTCACTGAAACGAGCTGAAATGAAGAACACTTACAAAAAAGCTCGCATTTGGAGTGATTCAGACTCAAGCCCAAAGCCTCTTCAATCCTACTGGACGCTTCGAGTGACAGACAAAGCTGACGCCAATCGGAGCTCCACAGGGTTCTGTCATCAATAAAAACAGAGACACAGACTTGGGGTGCACTGGCTTTAATGTGCCAATACCACACCGTCATCAGGCCGGCTAGCAGACCGCAACTCAAGGGACAACCCTGCAAAAGGCCTCGAGAACAACCAAAAGGTTTAGTGGAAGAACCTAACCATTCCATGGTTTTCGTCTGTTTGTCATAAAAGGATTGGAGGACAGCCACCACAGTGTGAGGTGCCCCCAACTTGGACCAGACACGAAGAGCTTGCTTAACATCGACATGGTCGAAGCATTTGGCAATGTCGATCTTAGCTCCAAAAACCTTGGGCCAAGCTATGCTCTCA